GGGGCTGCTGGGCGTAGCTGGCGACATTGGTCCGACCGGGAAGTATGATGTTTCGGGGGTTGTGATATAGGTCTGGTGTAGAGGGCGCGGGAATTCTCCTTCCATACTGATTGATGCCTTGCTCACGTTTTCGCTACGTATCTCCTGCAACTCCTCGCCCTGTAACGCCGACGGAGTCTTGGTGAGCTTCTTCGTCAAAGTGCGAGTCAATCCTTTGAAGGAGAAACGCGACTCGCGAGCAGGCGGCTTGATGGTCAGCGGAGAGGGCGCACTGACTGATTCGGGGCTGTACGGAGGCGATGTATAAGACGAGGAGTTGGGACTGAGGGCAGCAGGTGACGGTTCAAGCGGAAGCTCCATATGCGACTGCTCTGGCTCATCTTCAGGACGTCGCAGAATACCTGCATGCGCTGCGCGGAAATCGCCGTAAACGGCTCGTTTGGGCGCCATCTGTTGCGATCAGCTGTGCTGAGAGCGGAGTTGGGTTGTAATACATACCTCTGAAAATGCGTCGTCAGATGAACGTAGAAGAAGATATTCACTAGAATCGAAGTCGCGCGAGGGCGTAACAATGTCGTGAAGCAGTAGCGAATCGTGCGGGTTAACCAAGTCAAAGGAAGCACCGCGATAATGGATGATTGCGGGCGTCGCGGGCGGCGTCGCAGGCGCGGTTGTCGCGAAGCTAGGTGCGTCTATTCGCCTCGGCTCTCTTTCATCGTGGGGTGGTGAGAGCGACGGGTCGATCCGGTGGGGCGGCTGCGGGAAGCGGGATAGCGAGAAGGTCGAGAGTGTGGGCGTGGTCTGCGCGCCGCTGGAGTGTGAAAGATCGGTGGAGAAGCTCAACACAGCAGGACGCGGTGATTGGCGGTCTTGCGTAGATTTCACGTTTGCAAGCGGAAGAGCAAATACAGGACCTGTAGTGGCAGGCGGTTTCGGCAACCTTTTTCTTGACTTGAACTGACGTACCTTGCTAGACGAGTTTCCAGTGGATATGCTGGATATACTGCCCGTCTGCACGCGAGGCTCAGCTGACTGCGACCGAAGCGATAGTTCGAGCAGTGTTGGTTGCTGGGGCGGCGGAGCAATCGAGTTGAGTTGGTATGCCGACTGCGAAAAGTGAAGAGGACGCAATGGTGGACCTGAGTCTGACCGTGTCGAATGCGATACCGATGGTGCGCGTTCGATATCGTTCAAGGCAAGTGCCGCAGGTTTCCTCCGAAGAGTCTTGCCTGACGGTGTACCTGTTCGCGATAGCGTAGGCGTGTGTTGCTGCTTGCGATACTCGTGGATGGTGAGGACGTGGACGGGAGTCCGGGAGGAGGCAGACGAGGTAACTGAGTGGTGTGGGGAGTGGACGGGCGTCATAGGATTGCCAGCTTGCATCCGCAGTGAAGCCGGCTCAGAAAGTCGCGGTGACTGCGAGTGGGGGTAAAATGCCGCCATCTTCGACTTGCCCGGCAGAACCGTTTGTCGTTCTCCTCAGTGGTGAATGAGAGTTTGCAATCTGATTCCTGACTACAACTTCGTCATTGGTTTCATGTGTAGGGTAGCTTTCCAGGCTCTTGGTTCGTTGTTTCGCTTCGGATCGGACTTGAGGTGAAGTTTAACGAATGCATTGCGGGACCCACGCCATGGGCTTCGAGGGTATGGATACGGTCCGGTTGCTTTCGTTCCAGTCGGCGAGCTATACTTGTAGCGATCCCAGAGTATCTGGTAAACCTCAAAATCGCCGTGTACAGACGTTGTAACCGTGCCGGAGTGGGCTGATGTCCGAAAGAGCGGTTTCCTTCGGAGGAATGGCTGAGTGCAGTCACAACCGAGTGTTCGTGAACGCACACGTCGTTTCGTACTGATAATCGTAGTAAAGGCGGTGCGAAGCAACGTCAGAGATACCGAAGATGCGGGACAAAGAACCAGGAGCGAAAGACGGTGAGATATTAAGATTAGAAGTCGATACAGAAAAGACGAGCGGCACGAGAATCTATCCCGTTGAGAAGAAGAGGAAAGAGCGCTAGACGATAGCTCTCGAAGAAGGCACGATGTTCTCTCACCGAGTACCTACACACGGTAGGAAGGAACGATGACGGACCAGGAAAAATAAACAGAACGGAAAGAACAACCCTAGAAGCCAGCCCAACTTCAGCCCCAGCCTTAGCTCCGAGGGGCACCGGGCATCGCATTCGTCACGCTCAGCAGACCACACAATTCCCACGCATCCTCTCTGCTGCCCTACCTCATTACACCTACCAGGTTCGTTGCGTTGCCAGAAAGAGCGATGCAGCTTCGTGGGTGGTTGCCGGCATGGCGGCCCCTTGTCTAGCGTGTCGAGGCGCTGGCCAGTTAAACCTCGCAGACACCTGCAGCGACGAAACACAGGACATGGCGCCGCGATGGCGAAAGGGCATCGTACACCACTTGATCCGCCCCGAGCGATGCGGGCTAATACCCGTCATCTCGTTTCAGAGCCTACCTAGGTAGCGGGACCTCGCGGGCGACGTATCGGAGGTTGGGCGGATGTTGAAAGATCCAATCAGGCGGCGTGATGCGTTTGCCTGCAAGCTTCACGACTGGCATTGCGCGGTGGGAGAGATGAGTCTTACCTCAGCTGGTGGAGAGAGGTGGAGATGACATTGCGTGGAAGAGGTGCAGAGTCTTGCCCGGTGCAAAAGGGGTGGTGCGTGATTGAGTGATGGTGGTGTGCTGTCATTTCACGAACCTGTCACAAATCACGCTAATGGTGGCGATCTCGAGTAGCCGAGTCTTGGGAACTGCATGTTCTCACACGAGTAATGATAAGGCGGTCGTCTGCCTGGTTTATATTGGAGCGCCACATCTATCGCCTTATCGGGCTCTCATGCGGGAAGTTTGCATGTTATGTAATAGGCATGAACTGCTCTACGCCGTTAGACGCTCCCGATCACATTACTGTAGCTCCACTGAGTCTATCTCCGCCACGCGACCTATCGCCTCTATCTTCTGATTCATCTTGGGCAAGCTCATGCAAGGCTTGCTTCGCACCGTATTCCTTCAATCCCGTCCTTGACTTTCTCCGCCGTATTGACGGGTACCGCACAGGCTCCAAGTTGCTGAGAGGAGAGTACGAGAAGCGTCGTGGGTCAACCCCTTGCGGATACTGATGCTCCAGCACAACACAAATGTTCACGTTCTCTGGCACCGAACTATGGCGATGCTGTCGATCTGAATCTCCCTGGGGCGACTTGCTCTTGCTTGGAGGCGTGGCAGGCTTCTTAGGTTGGGGTGACGCCGAAGCAGCTTCGATGGCTTTCCCATGATCTGCTGCTTCATACTCTATCAGATTCGGGTTGTTGATCTCGCCTTGTCGCGTACCCTGCAATGGTTAGCTTGGGCCGTGAGACCGTTCAGTAAGCAAACTTACGCGTGTTGGATACACAGTTCCTGGCATCATGACATATTCATCCAACGTATGCATGAGTTTGGCGAAGTTGAAACCATGTCCTGGCCGGCTTGGAAGGAACCTCTGCCCAATGTCGTGTTCGAAACTGAGCATACAATCTTGATTCGGCATATACTTGGAGAGATTCGTGTACCACTGGGGATACGTGCCGTACCAGGCTCCGACATCCGCGTTCAGGTCGACTGACATGTATATATTCTCGCAATCTTCCGGCTTCTGCACAAGTAAGACGAAGTCGAATTCTCGTGGCAAGCCTGATTTTTGGAGCATGTTTTCCGTGAGTGTCCAGACGGCCTTGGCGTCTTCGACATCGTACTCTGATCCGTGTGGGCTTCGCTTCGATCGCACCGATCCTTGGATGCTCATCATGTGGAAGACTTTGTAGCTGCTCTTCATAGCTGCTTTCGGGTTCAGCGAAGCAGATACGGGCGCCTGCGATACGCCTAAGGAGCTCGATAAGCTGAAGTTCCACTGCAGGTTCTCTGGCGACACAGATCCGAACATCAGCTCTGGTGCATGCTTCAGGATCCGTGGATGCGACGCGCCTGGCTTCCGGGGCGTGTTGGGGTCACCGTCGTCGCCATGAACGGTGACTTCAATTTCGGCGCTTTTGAAACGGTGCGACTCTGGGTCATGGGGATGAAAGACAAAGTGCACCGAAACGAAGAAGAGGTTGTTAATGTCGGGTTCGTGAAGCGCGTTCGACCTGTAGTAGCCGTGTTGAAGTCGGTTAACATGGGCGGAGATGTACGCGTTCCCGGGTAACCGGCGCTCATACAGGCATTTCTTGTTGATTTGGAGTCGCTTCCTTGGTATGTTTGGATCTTTGGGCGGGGGCTTGATCGTTACTCGACTTCTCTTAACAGGTGGGTCAGATGTTTGCTGTTCAGGTTCGGGCTCATCGTTCTCTCCCTTCAGATGTCGCATCAAGGAGTGCATCGTAACGTAGAGATATGTCGAAGATGGCGTTCACTAGACGCGCGGGTTGACGGTCACAGAGTATCAAGATGTGGTGCGTGCCCGCGTTGTCATCGACGCTACCGGCTACGGCGGTATTTCTGATGAGTCTGGATTTGAGCTTATCATGGCTGCGACGCGATGCGAAAATGTTGGAAAAAGGAGAAGGGACGAAGGCCTGAGACGCGTCAGGTAGGATAGGAGCAAGATAGGTAAGAAGGTTGGTGGCATAGGCCGAATGAGGCGTGGATCTGCATGTCTCAGTGGTGCTGGTGTTGAAACCAATAACCCCTACGTCATGCTGAGGTTAGCTCGAACCACGACAGGCACGCGCAGGTTCGCGACACCTGAATGGTCTGCCGGAAGACATGTGCCTAGAATTGCGTCCATGGATGTCGCTGGATGAAGGTTGAGAGCGCGCTGCCGCGGACGTAAGCTCCTTATCAGCGCGCGTCTTTATCGCAAGCGAACCCCGCAGCATGGCCCAAAGAGGTGAGGCCTGTAGCGGTAGAGTCGGTAGAGTCGGACTGGAGGATGGTGGGGATTCAAATACAATCTGGAGACGCGTTGTATCGCTCCAGATCTTGGCTGCTTCTGATTCTACAATATGCAGTTGTGTCCAAAGGAGGTGTGTAACATGGTGCCATGGACGCGTGCTGCCCCTGCTGACCATCGCGTCACAGCTTGACAAGCTCGTCATATCGCAGCTCGGACTCCTTGCGCAACGTCGGCTGGCAAGGGGAGTGAAGCTGAACCATGCTGAAGCTACTGTGAGTGTCGCATGATATCGCGTGGACGCTGCTAATACTCCCAGGCTTTGATCGCGAATAACCTCCAAGAAGTACGACCTCCGACTTCGCGTGCATCCTCGGTCGCATGCTGAACGCATACAGCTTATCCGCGATGGAAACCACTCGGTCGCCGATCTCATGTCAATTGGCACAACGATGCTTGGTCGTCGTCATGTACAGCCCTCCGTTGTCGCCTCGCTCGGCGAGTTGATGGTCGAAGGCACCTTCCCAACCGGCACATACCTCGTTACCGTCCATAACCCAGTGTCCACCGACGATGGCGACCTTGAGAAGGCGCTATACGGATCGTTCCTGCCAATTCCATCGAACGACATGTTCCCACTACCCGATTCGAGTGTTTACGAGAGCACGAAGCAGCCAGGCGCGATCGTGGCAGTCAAGGGAGAGGCTGGTATAATCAAGCTGAACGAAGGGCGCAAGAGGATCAAACTCAAGGTGAAGAGTATGGGAGATCGGCCAATTCAGGTATAGAAACATCATGCGACTACGAGACATGCGACTCACTAAATATAGGTCGGATCGCATTACCACTTCATCGAGACGAACCCGCAACTCCAATTCGACCGCGTACGAGCTCATGGATACCGCCTCGATATTCCCGCAGGCACATCGGTGCGCTTCGAGCCTGGCGATACCAAGACAGTCACCCTGGTACAAATTGGTGGTAACAAGATCATAAAGGGTGGAAACCAGATCGCTTCAGGCTTCATCGAAGACATGTCGGTTGCAAATGGCATCGTGGAGAGACTGAAGTCTGGCGGCTTCCTCCACGAGCCAGAGCCGCATGGCGACGCTGCACACATCGACATCTGCAGCATGGAGCGACTGTCCTATATCAGCATGTTCGGTCCGACGACCGGTGACCTGGTTAGATTGGGTGCAACAGATCTCTGGATCAAGGTTGAGAAAGACATGACCGTATACGGCGATGAGTGCGCTTTTGGAGGAGGTAAGACATTAAGAGAGGGCATGGGACAAGCTGGAGGTGTTTCAGACAAAGACTCGCTGGATACCGTCATTACGAACGCTTTGATTATCGACTGGTCTGGCATCTACAAAGCGGACATTGGAATTAAGGATGGGATGATCGTTGGCATCGGCAAGGCAGGCAATCCGGATGTGATGGACGGTGTGGACCCCAACCTGGTAGTCGGTTCATGCACCGATGTCATCTCTGCTGAACACAAGATTGTAACAGCAGGTGGTTTCGATTCTCACATCCATTTCATTTGCCCTCAGCAGGCACATGAAGCTATAGCATCTGGTATCACGACCATGCTCGGAGGCGGCACAGGACCCAGCACCGGCACAAACGCAACAACCTGCACTCCAGGCAAGACGCACATCCGACAAATGCTCCAAGCAATCGACACACTCCCCGTAAACTACGGTATAACAGGAAAAGGCAACGACGCCGAGCTCCGCCCCCTCCAACAACAAGCCGAAGCCGGCGTCTGCGGCCTCAAGCTCCACGAAGACTGGGGCAGCACCCCCGCCGCCATCGACGCCTGCCTGACAGTCTGCGACGAATACGACATCCAAACGCTCATCCACACGGACACGCTCAACGAATCCGGCTTCGTCGAGTCCACCATCGCTGCCATCAAAGGCCGCACAATACACACGTACCACACCGAAGGCGCGGGCGGCGGTCACGCTCCCGACATCATCAGCGTCGTCGAACTCGACAACGTGTTGCCTTCGTCTACCAATCCCACTCGACCATATACACGCAACACGCTCGACGAGCACCTCGACATGCTAATGGTATGCCACCACCTCTCCCGCAACATCCCCGAAGACGTCGCCTTCGCCGAATCGCGCATCCGCGCCGAAACCATCGCCGCTGAAGACGTGCTGCACGACCTCGGCGCCATCTCCATGATGTCTTCGGACTCGCAGGCCATGGGCCGCTGCGGCGAAGTCATCCTCCGCACATGGAACACCGCACATAAGAATAAAGTGCAGCGCGGTACGCTCAAGGAAGATGAGGGCACGGACGCGGATAACTTTAGGGTGAAGAGGTATATTAGCAAGTATACTGTTAATCCCGCGATAGCGCAGGGAATGGGTCATTTGGTGGGCAGTGTGGAGGTGGGTAAGGTGGCGGATCTTGTGCTTTGGACACCGAGGAACTTTGGGGTTAAGCCCAGTTTGGTGGTTAAGAGTGGGTTTTGCTCGTATGCTCAGATGGTATGTTTTCCTCTTCCTTCCTCTCCTCAATTATCTCTCCTCTGTTATCAAGCAGAGGCCTAACAACTTCCCAGGGTGATCCCAACGCTTCAATCCCCACTGTCGAACCCATCATTATGCGCCCCATGTTCGCGCCTATGGTGCCTTCATCTAGCATCACGTTCGTCTCACAAGCTTCCATCGCTTCTGGCGTTGTCAAGTCTTATGGCCTGCGCAAGCGCGTCGAGGCTGTCAAGAATTGTAGGAATATCGGTAAGAAGGATATGAAGTTCAATGATACGAAGCCGAAGATGAAGGTCGATCCTGAGAGGTATACGGTCGAGGCGGATGGTATGGTATGTGAGGCTGAGCCTGCGGAGACGCTGCCGTTGACGCAGGGGTATTTTGTTTATTAGGGAAAGAAATGGAAGGGTTAGTTATGCCGTGTACGACGTTCGTTTACCTTGCACGTGGCGTGTACGGTGGAGGACGTGTTCTACATGTGTCGCTCTTGCAATGACCCTTGAGTCTGGCCTAAGCTGCTTGTAGTACCGACTTTGCTGTTGGATAGACTAGTTCGCTCTTCCACGACACCTCTGCGACTCGCGAGCTTAGCCGGTTCGAGCGTCTTTGGTTGTCCGTGTCATTCGATTAGACGATATGTATGGTTTCTTCCTCGCCAAGCGGAACATCAGACACTGAGCAGTGATCTTTTCGCCAGATTTCCATCAACCCAATTCGCTCGTAAGTATTGTTTGCTCTGTCTATCGGCCGTAGAATTAAGAAACTTATCCGGGTTCCAATTGAGTTATCTTTGGCGAACAGCAGCGTCTTGACACGTTCACCAGAAGCCACAGCTGCACTGTGAGGCCTTGTAATATCTGTTCTTTCCACCAAACAATCTTCGTAATTGTTTTGCCGACAATCCTTCCAAAGATTCCACACAGCGTGTTCTGGGTACTTTATACGACTACGCAGTTCTGCAGTAGGCTCATAAGAACCCTCGACGTGATGTTGTAGACATCGACCTCGCAGGGTGATCTTTGCTGAGAGAATTTCTCCAAATTGATCCTCGCCTGCAGGCACGACGTGTGAAGTGACGAATATACATCTGGTGGTAAGCCCATTTCGGACGTCCCAGGTGACAGGGCCAATGATGGATGCCCAAGACCAGGACGGGGCGCGCCATTGCTGTGGTCTGGTGACTTTCTCTGGGCTATGTACGTACCAGAGCAAGTCGGGGATTATGCTACTTTCCCACAAGCCAGCTATGTACGCCGACTTCTTATACTGGTGCATTTGCTTGCTGATTCCCTGCAAGGCTGGGAAGATATCCGTCTCAAACGATAAACTCAGAGCGCTGTACGCGTTGACGATGTGATACCATAGATACGGACTTCTTCCTGCGTCGTTTTGGAATACGTCTGTGAAATGCTGTGGGCTACGCATGCTCCGGGATTGATAGTATTCATCCAACGATGTGCATTCGCACGCTGTCCTGGTTCGACACCCCCAAACGAGCTCTTCGTCAGTGAAGTTGATCAATCTTCGTGAGAGCAGGCATTCTTGCAATGTCCACCCACGCCGTAGTAGAGGGAGGCTCTCCTCCAGCCATGCATGGCCAAAGAGCCTGGGCCGAAAACGCACGTCCAATCTTGAGCCGTCCATATCGGGATACGAATACGCAACAGAAGGGCGTTCTGGAGTTTGTCGAAAGCATCCACTCGATGAGCTATTTGAAGCTGCGGCAGCAAGCGTGACGTGCGCACCAGAGTATATTTGTGCCATCTTGCTTCCTTCAATTCGCCAGTCTTCAATACTGTCTTGCTGAATGCACAACGAATCTATCCACAGATATTGAAACCCCAGTCGAAGGGTAAAAGAGATGGCTTCTTGGAAAGTGCGAGGAAGCTCGTGCCAGGGAATGCCTTGCTTATATTCGTCTAAGCTGGAAGTAGTGGTCTGGATCATGCTGCCCGTTCCCCAGCAATGGCTCAGGCAAACGTAGGGTTCGACTTCCCCTTTAGACTCGTATAGCTTGACTTGATTGGGGCCTTGGATCTTAACGACACGAGAGGGCAGCTTTGAGCGAGTGGCTCTGCACGCTTCGTGGTTCTCCTCGCAATCTCTCAACCATGTAAGAGCACGTTCGACGGCGTGCTGAGACCCTGAATTAGGAGATACCTCAAGTTCGTGAGGCAACTGGGGTACTCGCCACGACTGTGATGGGGATAGAAGTAGTAGACTGACTGTAGTCATCATGTTCTTCTCACACATGTCTTCCGGGACATACACCTCCCCGCGATGGGAACCACACCAGAACCTCCATCGTGATCGTTGCCGGTACCACTCTGTCCAAGTCCCACCACGTGGTAACTCGCCTCCATTATGTACGACCATGAGTTTGAGGATGCTGGAAAGTATCATGCAGCCAGCACAGGCTTCTTCGGCAGACGAAAATAACTTAGCATTATCTGTGGATGTGCCTCGCTCAGCCCAGAGGTTGTTGAGACATACTGTACAAGTCTTCGCTCTCTCATATGCGGCTTTGATTTGGTCGTACTCCGATGAGGTTTTCGGGCTATCGTTCGTAGACCACCAGGAAGGTGGATTCCACCTCATTATCTGCTGGTGCAAACCAGACTGTTCCATGATGGTGCGGACACTAAAGTGGTTTGTGTACCCAGAAATCGTAAACAAAGACACAATGTTCGTTGGGGATGCGGGAGAATGTTTCGGAAATGGTGGTCCGCGCAGAACGAGCTCAAGAAATGATATAGACGAGACTGGTGTGCGAACCACATATCCAGAAAGACAATTGTAGCGATTGCTTATCTGGCCGGTTGAAGAGAGGGGTCAGGCAGCAGGCACATACGCGCCACATGTTGGGGGCTGAGAGGCGTGCTGCGAGCCAATCAGTCTGCCCGGAGCGAGAATCATTCTCGCCTGTCTGGCAGTCCTAGAGAGAGCGAGGACTGACGGATAAAGTTGTACACTCATCCAAACTTCACTCACTAGAGTAGAATCGGGTGTAGCATAGTTGATTCGGCGTAGGTATCAATTGATGGTGTCATCTAGTTCGTCGCAACCCAGTCGATTCGCGGGCATAAGATGCGACGGGTTGTCAGTTGGTAGGCATCAAAACACGAACAAACGAAACGAAGGCGCAACGAACTGCGACTGCTAAATCTGGAGATGAAGGAAGTTTGAAGATGCGGCGCACCATCGGAAGGTTTGGTGTTTCAGCGGCCCGTGCGCCTTCTCTCTCCCGCGAGGGGTCGCGGCAGCAACTGCCCTGCAGCACATCTTTGACGCAACTCCACTATCCTAGTGTAGAAACATGTCGGCAGTGTCGAAACATAGGGATCTCCGAGTCCAGAAATGTACTCGGCCCCGTTTCGCGACCGCTGGCACCGCACCGGCAGTCTCGAGTATGCGGATGGCGGAACCCCGTTGGGCGGGGACCCGAAGCCAAACGTCGCAGAAGGGGACGCAAATAGAAGTGCTAGAATATGGAGCACGACAGATATAAAGACGAAGGGAACGATGGGAGGAGATATAATTGCAATACCATACTATAACAGCAACACTTTCGCCTACCAGAACCACCAGAAACAAAAGTCGTCATGTTTGAGAAGAACGAATTGAAGCCGACATTCGATGGTTGGTCCTCTCTGCGGTCTCTTGCGAGCATGACTAACAAGCTCAGACGTTATGGGTTGCCAGTCGGCGTGCTATGAGTGGGCAGACAGCTACGATAGCAAGGTCGGTCGACATGCACAGCTGCTCAGCGATAATCACTTACACATCGCAGGACTGGGACCGTCTTAGCAAATGCATCGCCCCCACATTGAAGATCGACTACCGATCCTTCCTCGACAAGATCTGGGAAGCCATGCCTGCAGACGAGTTCGTCGCCATGGCCTCGGACCCCAACGTACTGGGCAACCCTCTCCTCAAGACACAGCACTTCATCGGCGGCACGCGGTGGGAGAAGACTGCAGAGGACGAGATTACCGGGTACCACCAGCTCCGTGTGCCCCATCAGAGGTACACCGATGAGTCCCGCACCAAGGTTGCCGTCAAGGGCCATGCCCACAGCTTCAACACGCACTGGTACAAGAAGATCGACGGCGAGTGGAAGTTTGCTGGACTGAACCCGGATATCAGATGGTTCGAGTACGACTTCGACAAGGTGTTCGCCGAGGGCCGTGAGCAGCTGGGCGAGGCCAAGGCTGCTGCTGGCATCCCAGAGAAGGTTCCTGGCCAGGCGATGTAGGATAGGATAGGAATCTGCTTACTAAGATACCACTACGAATGATAGAAGACATTACAACATTGTATTTGATATTCCTCAGTCTGGTGTACGTGTTCCAAGCGCACAACGGTCGTGATATGTGTCTGTCGAGCTGGTTGGATGCAGGCCTCAGCGGCCGGCCGTCTAGCTGCAGGCGGTGGGACCACTGAGAGAGGATGGAGGGACCCATGGCGGTACAGGTGTGTGATTCGACCGGCGCAAAACTGCGCGGGTTGAGTACAGAGTCCAGCGATGCGGCGCGAGCATGGGTGAGATATGGATTGGAAAGGCTGCAGACTGCAGAGGCTCTCGGTGAGGCACCGCCCCGCACATTGCGAAAGCCCGGTGACGACTTCTGGCTGCAAGTCATCTACGCGGCCAGGGGTGGGTCGCCTATTAATAACGCAGAGCAGATCGCACGCAGCCGGCACCGTTCTTCATCTGGTCGATGCCAGCGTGGCAGCCGTGTTGAGCCTCTGTAGCGAGATGCGATGGGCCACTCGCAATGGAGCCGCTTCATCCTTGGGTCGCGCAATCCTTGTATCGATCGAAAGCTTAAACCTGCACTGGTCTACGCCATCCGCGTCCCCAGGTTCGCGCAGTCATCGCTACCAAAACCAAGCGAAGTAAATCCTAGCGGATTCTCGGCGCCGTACATCATCTGCAGTTCTTCGCTCTTCTACCGACCCCGCCCACCGACCGACCTTCCTCCCACACTGCCCAACACCTGCTGTCGTCGATCGTCTTTCCTCTCCGATTTCTCGCGTTTGTGGTGTTTGGATCTCATCTGCTTCTCCAGTTCGCCGGTGTCCTTGAGATTTTTCGGTATGTATATCTCATGAGCAATTTTCATCTCGTCTTGGCGGGCCGCCCACTGCACAATTTCGTGCACCGGGGCATGGGAGCTGCGGACTGCATAATCAATTCGGCCACCGCCCGTCTGCTACGCGATGTGCGTCTATCGCCTACTGACGTCGTCGTCTGCACGGACTTGGTCGCGCGGCCTGCAGCAGCGCTGCCACCAGCCCGAGCCAGCGTCGCGCATCCCGACGCGCTCTCACTGCCGTGGGTGTTGCGAGCACCTGTCGTGACATGGGCCTCGTGCGCCCGCCGCATGTGATGCCTGACATGAAAACTACGGTACTAACCCGCCCACTCAGATTTCGTTCGAGCTTCCTCACGGTCACTCCTTCGCTCTCCCTCACCCACACCCACTCCTTCGTGCGCGACCTGGAGTTACTGTCGCCGCTTTTCCCGACTATCTCCTAGGCGTGTTCCTTGGCCTGTACTCTCTACTGCCTCCGCGACTGCAGTGATAGAAGGAGCCGGATCTAATCGGTAAGTGCAGCCTGCCACCCTTCCAGCTCCTTCACCCTGCTCCCGCTGCCTGACCTCCTGCGCGCACACTCACCGGAACTAACAATTGCTTTTTCTGCGCAGACTATATAAACGACGCCACGGTTCTCTATCATAATTAGAGCTCATACCCTTACTCCCCACCTCCGTTAGCTCAATCGACTACCCCGCTTGATCTATCAGTCATGTCTTTCAACAACAGCTACGGCGACCAATTCCAAGGCCAGCCCCAGGGCGACATGAACAACCAGACCCCGCAGCCCGGCGACATGGGTCAGCCCATGGACGCTTCCGGCAACGGCTTCCCACCCCAGGGCAACATGGGCCCGCCAGGCAGCGCTGGTGGTGACGGCCAAGGCCAGGGTGCGGGCAAGACGACTCTCTGGTGAGTCTGCGGACGCACCCGAGTTGCGAATTGCGCATCTCAGATGGCGATATGCGCGCTCGGGTGGCCTTTTACTAGGTGGGGCACATCGATGCTAACACAACGCAGGATGGGCGAACTCGAGCCCTGGATCGACGAGAACTTCGTGCGCAGCATCTGGTACAACATGGGCGAGACTGTCAACGTCAAGATGATCCGCGACAAGTTCTCCGGGTAAGCACGGAATCCACACAGGAAAAAGTCTCCAGGCTAACTACCGCATAGCAGCAATGCTGGATATTGCTTCGTCGACTTCGCGAGCCCTGATGCTGCGTCCAAGGCCCTTAGCCTCAACGGCCAACTCATCCCCAACTCCAACCGCCCGTTCAAGCTGAACTGGGCCTCTGGCGGTGGTCTTGCTGACAGGAGGCAAGTCTCACCCGGCTATCCACATACGACAGTGATCACTAACGACTCGAACAGCCGCGACGAGCGTGGTCCCGAATTCAGCATCTTCGTCGGAGACTTGGGCCCCGAGGTCACCGAGTTCGTCCTCGTACAACTCTTCCAGAACAAGTACCAGTCCACCAAGTCCGCCAAGATCATGTCCGACCCCATTAGTGGTATGTCGCGCGGCTACGGTTTTGTCCGGTTCGCTAGCGAGGAGGACCAGCAAAAGGCCCTCACTGAGATGCAAGGCGTCTACTGCGGCAACCGCCCTATGCGTATCTCCACTGCCACACCCAAGAACAAGAGCGGTGGTCCCGGAGGTCCCGGCGGAATGGGCGGCATGCCTCAAGGCGGCGGCGGCCCCGGTATGGGCATGTACTCCATGGGCGCTCCTCCCATGGGTGGCTACTACGGTGCACCCCAGCCGATGAACCAGTTTACTGACCCGAACAACACCACCGTCTTCGTCGGCGGTCTGTCCGGCTACGTCACCGAGGACGAGCTCCGCTCTTTCTTCCAGGGCTTTGGCGAGATCACATACGTTAAGATTCCCCCAGGCAAGGGTTGCGGCTTCGTCCAGTTCGTTCAGCGCCACGCTGCCGAGATGGCCATCAACCAGATGCAAGGCTACCCCATCGGTAACTCTCGCGTCCGTCTTAGCTGGGGTAGGTCCCAGAACAACTCCGGTCCAGCCGGCACCCCGTACCGCCCTGCACCACCTCCACCAGTTCCCTTCGGCCCCGGCATGGGTATGCCCCCGCAACACCCCTACGGCGGTGGCGGTGGCTACGGCCCGATGATGAAGGTAAGTCAACAAGACATGCTGCAGTTCTGTGTCTGATGCTAACTCAACTGTAGTAAGCGCATTCTTTCCCTCTGTATTGCTTGCACGGCGCTTCTGTCATGGTTCATCCCGTTGGCTTACTGCAACGATCCCTTTCATGACTCGGCATGACGAATTTCGAGCGATTTGGTCTTTAGTTCTATAACGGGCGGTTCTCCAAAAGTTCTCGACTTCTTCTCACGACACTCATCTTGCTGGAGGGCCATAGAAGGGAGTCTTTGTATAACAGGCCATCTATTCTCCCATTCGGGCTTTCTTTCTAAGCGTGCCACTCATCTTTCTGGGAGCATAGGGATGTAGCTAGTCATGCATGGGCCGGATGCTGCTTTCTCTCGACTTGCCTTTTCTTCACGATTGTGCGCTGCTCCCTGCAGGATTGGCCATCATTTCCAATCACACGATTCTTCTATTTCTGCGTGTTTGGTTGCGTGCTTGCTTGCTGGCTTGGTTGATTCGTCTAACGTTCTGTTCCAAGTGCCTTCTAGTCTTTCCTTTGTTAGTTTGCTGTTTGTTCTATTAGCACGCGCATAGTCTACCACCTCGTTGCCCTCCTTGGACATCTTGCTAACGTCACTGTGTAGCAACTTTCCCGTCCAGGCTGGCCAGCCTTCCCCTTACCCGCCGTCGATGAACGCAAGCCTCGGTGGCCAGCGACCCGGCAGCCAGAACGCCCCTTCGGCCAATCCTGCCGGCCAGAACGGCACTCCAACGTTCAACAACTACCGCTTCACCCCCACCCAGCCCAACGGCCCCAACAGCCCCGGCTTCGGCTCGCCCGACTTTGGCGGTGCCTTCTCGCAGCAATTCCCTCCACCGCAGTAACTGCGCATCGTACGCTCTCGCATTGGTTATACGCATATCAGATACTGTTTTGCCGCTTTAGCAAGGAGTTCTTGGGGCATGAAACTTCATTATCACGACGTGGCTATATTCTTTAACTGGGGAATGAAGGCATAATGCTTTAGCGAGGCGTCTGGCGAACAAGAATTATATGGTATACCCATGCAGCAAGAGAAGGCGTCAAGAGTCTGTTTCATTTCTATCGTGGCGGGAGGTTCGCGTCTTTGCTAGAAGATTGCACTTCTTTTGAGGTTTTGCGTTGAGTTGCTGCGTGCGCTGTGGGTATTTCGGGAGATGTCTATTGAAAGAAACGTCGCAGACTGATGGTTAGTGGGTTCTAGTACAAGGTCGCTGCAAAGGTCCATGGAGGGTACATCACAGACTGACGGACAGTGAGTTTTTAGTAGAAGGACTATCTGAGAGATGCTACATGAGCATGCGGCAGCATGCGTTTTGATCTAGTCATGCCCATTCTATACAATTTACACTTCATCGCATTTGCACGAACCTTTGACGATGTGAGTTGCCTCACGCCATGACGTTGCGCTGTGACAATCGTGCCTTCCTCATCACTGAACCTCGGGCGTACCCTCCGTTACTCAGCCCTCGACTCTCATAAACAATGGTCTTCCTCCTCCTCTCCACAAACAAATCCGGCACAACTGCCAATTGCTTGTTGCTCTTTTGGACCCGAACAGCAGCAATCGCACGCCTGCCATGCGCTACGACGACTGGGACGTGATCCTCTTCCCAAAGGACTCTCACGTACCCATACAGGAGTTCAAGACCGCCTGCTATGTCTCACCTGAGGAATGTGAGTACCCTGCTCTCCCTCACCCACTTGCAGACTTCTTTCACATGACCGTCCGTACTGATAGTATGTAGATGGCCGTCAGCTGCCCACGTTGACTTCATACATCAGCACTCTGCCACCGTCCACACCGTTCCGCATCTCCGTACACTCATGGGCCACCGCATCGAAAGCCTCGGCATTGATTGAGTCCCGACGAAAGGCGAACCAGAAGGTTGTATACACAGTCCAGGTTATCGTCGACGGGGCTAGAGTCTTGTGAGCCACACGCCATGGCTTATGGATATGGGACAACGATGCTGATGAGCATAGTCGTGGCTTCTTCGACATAACGTCGAAATGGCCCCAGGAGATTGGTATGTCACACTCAAGTCAATGCTGCATCACTGTTGGACTGACGATGTGTAGCGCAAGAGAAGAGATCACTCACCATCAATGAGTATCCTTCGAGTCAACGAAAACAATGCCTCGAGTTCCCGCCCTTTCATCAACAGACCCTCATGCAGAACTCATGGAATGCTCACGACCCCCAAGGACGAATAAAGATAATGTTGTCGGAACAATTGATCATGAAGACGACAAGTCCTGGAGAGGTAGATCTTGGCACGACCAACGACATTGTTTGCTTCTCCTTCCAGCATGCTCCGAAAGGTACATCGAAGGAACTTATACCCCTCATATATGGATCCCTAATAAGAAACAGATGTCCTAGAACAGGCGGGCATCTCATGGCCCATCCGAAACCCTCTATACCTTCCCAATGCGCTCGAGCGAGCCACGCACCTGTCACAGATATCCCCGACGAACTCTCGGACACCGAAGGCCCGGCCCTTCCCAGGCGATATCCATATGCAGTCGCCAATCTCACATGCATCGGCATCCGTCTTTGCTAGATCGCAGATTCCCTTACCCAATCGACGCTCTAATGCGCATCTGCCCCCCATCTCACAATTTGCGAAGCCATTGCCAGGTTTCAGAAACAACGGTCGCCCAGGCATATGGGATGACAATCTCAACTCCTTCGTAGATTCTGCCGACGACGTTAGCATGGATACATGGTCAACAAGAAGAACGTCGGGCTCCACCAGCGACATGGCCATGCCTGACTACATGTATGCTTCTTCACATCTGTCACGGAAAAGTCAACCATGGATGCCTGACAGGTCCCAATACGACCAAGGCATGAGTACAGAATGGGAAGATCATCCGCCGAGGAAGGAAAAAGAGAAACAGCTCGTTGTCACCCTTCGAGATGACCAACTAGGGCAGATTATCCAAGCTATGAGTCCACCGAAGCAGAATCGTGAGCTATCGCATGGATCGGGCAATCAACGCCATGAGAATACTGGTCGCCTACCGACTGCTTACAACTACTGTCCCCCAAAGTCAGACATCAATCCACCTATCAACCGCCCGTCGTCGGCGGCCATGGCGCGCAAGCCATCATACTCGGACTTCAATCATGCCCTACGGAACGCATCGAATAAGCAGTCACCAATTAATCAGCGGTTCCACGATGCGATTAATGACAAACAGCCTGCGATGAATCACCCTTCCTTCTCAAACAACAAAGAGAATCGTCCACCTTCGCAATCGCGATTGCCTACTGCGTTTCCAAACGCGAACCGTGTTCCGACGCCGAACCCCTTCGCGCAAAGGCTTCCAACCCATAACTCAGATGTTTCCATGAGAGACCCATCTCCGGCGCGTTCAAGTATGTACAGGTTCAGTCGGAGCGAAGCGCCACCTCCGACCATTGAGCCTGCTAAGTTTGGGTCAGCTCACGGCCCTTCAGCTGTGAATATCAGGAGCCGGAAGGAAGGCCTGGCGTCTGACTCACCGAGGCTGTCTGATCAAACAATGCGCCATGATCAGAGCCTGCTACCATCATTGAACTCAGGTCCTCGGACTGCACATATACCCATCTTTGAGGATAAAGACGAATCCTCGCACAATACCCAGAACAACATCCCTGATGTAGTCGAGATCATCGACGTGGATGCCATCGATCCCCACCTAAACACCAATGCTTCCTTCGAGAGCAACAAGCTGTCTCCATTCAAGCCCTGCCACAAGACTGGAGTGTCGCTTTCAAGCATCGACAGTACTGGTCGTCTAGAGAGGCAACTCTACAGTGCTCTCGGCGAAGAGCTGGGCAGCTTCGAACATCATATTGACACCACAGGCATGGGACCTGAACTCGCACAGGCACTCGGTGGTGCCACAGCACACTCCGATCTCAGCGGCTCCGGCATGCTGAACCCGAACGCTCACGAGTTTGAGCCAACGATCAAGCGGAAGAGGCAGAGTACGTTGGGCGGCGATCGGGAGAGAAGTCCGATGACTAAGAAAGAGAAGGCTGACTTGCGAGCTGGCGACGATCAAGAGGAGGTTGTGGTGTGTATGAGAGGGGATTGATCGTGTTATTGGTATGACATGGCATTGTTTGTCATTGCTTACGAGACCCGTAGCCTCTGTTCTGCAGATGTAGTAAGTCTTTTGGTACCTCTGTTTGTCTTGGGTGAGGAAGGTTGGTATTGCTTGTTGTAAGATTAGCGCGTCTAGACGGTACCCTTCTATAGTAGCCAATGAGTAAAGCGTGTTCACGTCATGTTTCCTTCAAACAATCTAAAACATATAAGGCCACGCCGAGTGACACTAAGAAACGGATGCTTTGCACGTTTAGATGACAAGAACGATTCGATTGAAGGCGACGTAAAAGAGGTAGGGTGGTATCAGGATAACGAGGATGCCCAAACGCCAAATGCAAAACAGAACAGTCCAAAGCCACGGAACGAAGCGTTTACTCCTCCTCACGCTCCGTTGGTATCACCCCAATGCACCAAGCCATCCCCAGGCCTCACCCCCAAACGCCACACCACACACCCCTCAACTCCACACATACTCTCTCTCCCCTCAGCTACTTATACTGCGGCACCCCCTGCGGCGGCGGCCCATAACCCGGTGGTGCACCACCACCCGGCGGACCCTGTCCTCCATACCCATTCATCGGCATAGACGCACCCTCCTGCGGCTTACCCCCATTGGCAAGATGCGCCAGTTCCGGCCGATACTTGATGTCCTGCCAGAAATTGCAGACGTGGCACCCCACTTCCTTGCGTGGCTTGAGGCTGAATGGGATAACGGGGATGAAGCAGAAGGTAAACCATTCCCAGCGCTTCATTACGCGGCCGGTGTTGTTGCCGCAGTTTTGGCATTGGAGCGTCAGGTTTTCGGTGCCGGCGAGGCGGGAGGTGAATGCTAACGGGATTGTTAGTATGGACGTGGATGTGAATGTGGAGGGTGAGGTTGGGTGATGTGGGTGTTTGGAGAGGAAGCGTTGGGATGGGATGAATGCTACGCTGATTGATGGAAAGACGTACTGTGTGTTCCGCAAGTAAAGAAGAAGAACATGATCGCGGGTTATATGCGCGTGTAGCGCAGTACTCGTTGTGATACGTGTGTTTCCCTATTTGGGGGCAGGTTTCTCGTCGCGGTTGGGCCGGTGGAACGATGCGCGTGCGACAAGTGGTACGGATGCTACGCGTTCTGCCGATGGTTGTTGTTCGTATATGCTACTCGTGGATGTAATAGCGCGTGGGATTGAGGTTTAATGGTATTGAGAAGTTTGTCTGGAAAGAAGTAGAATCGTCTGAAATGTGTTGCGATGGGAGGCGCGGGTTTCTGGCCGCTGGTAGAAGGCCATTGGCGCCGAGGAAGCTGCGTCATCATCGATGCGTCTCAGCCACACCTGGCGCTTGGCTTGGGGATCCATCGGGCTAGCGGCATTCCCCGCGGCGCTTATTACATATCCACGTAGCTAGTACGCATCTCAGGCGTGTCGATGCGTTGGTAGATTAATCATTGCATTGCGCAAAGTTCAGAGTGCAGGAGCGGAAGTGTTGAGATGTTGGTGAAGTGAATGTGGCGGAGGAGTTGATCGACGGCTAGCTCTTACCTGAAGAGGATTGCTGCGCCCGCATCGTGATTCGCAGTGGATGTTAGTCACCTGATCAGAATCGCGAAGCACATCACAGATAGCTGATGGGGTTTGAGCATCAACTCTTCATTATGGTATCGAGCGGTAGCCTCTAAAGCCACTCTTGTGGAAAGAGACTCGTTACAGTCATTAAGAGTAAGATAGTACAAGCCCTTCATTATCCCTCGCACGTCAACACCGATGAATCGCAGAGCCCATAGACCTCTGCTGGAAGATAACATCCACACTGTGAGAGCGAGGCAGCGTCTCCCAATCTGGAAAGAGACCTAATGCTGACTCCACGAAGAAGACCTGAGTAGAGAGCATGGATGAGACTTTCAGAGGTCACGGGCGCCTTGGTCCTGTCGCATTCGTCTACTGAGTCTTGAAGAGCAAGATAGCACAGTGTCCGAGGTAGAAGTAGATGAAATGCTTCGTCTCTGCAGTCCAGTCAGTCATCATTGTATGAAAGGTCCTAGTACAACAGTTCAGCTTACCATGCGTGACAAAGCTTCCAAAGTTGCGGCCGACGATGCAGTGCCATGTAGCACCCTTCCGACTGTCGAACTGCGGAGATGTTAGCGCGCGCTTCCAACAGCCCTGAGTGTGGTGATCTTACCTCCTTCTTGATGTACTGGGCAATGTCCTACAAGTTGAGTCAGAACGGTCCCAGAATAGTCTCGGCCTGAGCGGATAGTGAAGTCCCACCTTCTCGATAGTGAACTGCTCCATAGCCGTTTGTGCTACAACATGTCAGCGTATCCGTCGAGGTATGTCGAAAGCAGTTGACGTACCGACTTCAATGGCCTCTTGTTGCATCTCGTCGCTCTGTCACACATGTCAATATGAATCCGGAAGCAGCAGCCTAGGTATCCCGTACCATGTCTGCAGACTTGATTTGAGCTGCATACTGCATTAGCTTGTACTTTGGCAGACGTGTTGACAGGAACAAGGGGTCTTACCATCCTGCTTGTGGGCATCTGACTTGTCGCTGGCCATGGTGTTGATCTGTATGTGTATCAAAGGTTGAGTGATTTGGTGTAGCTTCCTTCAAAGTAGGCGAGCTCTTATAATGCGCGTGGTTGAGTGAGGCTTGTCCAGGGCCTTGTCATGATGTTTGAGCAGGCGCTCGCGGCGGTCTGCGCTCGGGCCTTCCCCGTGAGCCTAATGCGCGCTAGTGGACTGCCGGCCCATGCGTCGTTCACTTTTTTCTTCAGAACGCGACACTGACATCCACTACTCCTCCCACGACACCACAACCCGGGCAGGCAAGCCTTTACAGCATGGAGTCGTCACGCATCTTCGTGAGGAATTTGCCCTCTCACTTCACCGAGGATGACGTGCGGAAACACTTTGCCAAGTTTCCCATCACTGACGTAAAGTTCTTCAACCACCGACGCATCGGCTATGTTGGCTACAAGACGCCCGAAGATGCTGCAAAAGCTGTCAAGTACTTCAACAAGACCTTCATCAAGCTCACCAAGATCTACGCAGAGATTGCGCGACCTGTACGTACTTTGCGACCACGATGGCGACAAGCGGGGCTAACATGCGCAGATCGCCGACAAGGAACTGCCAAAGTCACGGCGGCAGCAGAAACTCGAGAAGAGCGCCCCCATAAGCGACGAGTACCGACCGGAACGGCAAGAGAACGACCTCAAGCGAAAACGAGAGGAAGCCGAGCAGGACCCGAAGCTGAAGGAGTTCTTGGAGGTCTATCAGCCGCCGTCTAAGACCAGCATCTGGGCCAATGGCGATACCCAGCTCAATGAGGCACCTGTCGCAGCCGCTGAAGAGGCTGTACCGGCGATTACTGTACCAGAGGACGAGAGCGACGATGAATATCAAGTCATCTCGAAGAAGCCAAAGATTGCTGAAGAGCCTGCGACCGCGCCACCCTCTGCAGCTCCAGAGCCAACGTCCGCTGAACCAAGCGCAGCTGCGATTCAACCAGAAGCTGTAGAAGGTGGTGACGCGATGGAGGACGTACAAGTAGCGCCAGCCGTCGAACAAGGACCTGTCACGGATGAGGACTGGCTGCGGTCGAGAACAAACAGGGTTTTGGAGCTCGTGGAAGATGATGAAATGCCATCAGCTAGCACGGCTCCTGTCGCTGTAGCACCGAAACCAGCTGCCCAACCACGCGCACCTGCTGAGCCTTCACCGGCCGTTGCCGACGCACAACCAGAGCCACAACCCCCGGCGGAGGAGCAGACCGATACTGCTGCTGCCCCTGACGAGGAGGACAAGATCCGCGAGACTGGTCGACTATACCTCAGAAATCTGCACTATGAGGTGACAGAGGATGAGATTAAGGAACAGTTCTCCAAGCACGGAGCTCTCGAGGAAGTAAGTCATGATACATCTCTTTCTTTACCCGCCCATGCAATGATGAACATCAAGATAGGGACAACTGATGCTTCGGCACCTGAGGTTACCTTGGAAAGTATTTTAGTAGATGTCTTTCTTATCTGATAGCGGCAACCACTCCTTGTTCATAAACGTACACTTGTGCGAATAGTTGCTGACTAGGACAGGTCCATGTGCCGTTGAAGAAGGCGGACGGCAAGGGTAAAGGCTTCGCCTTTGTGCAATACCAGAACCCGAACGATGCGGTGGAAGCTTACCTTGACAACGACAACACCATCTTTCAGGGACGCCTCCTTCACATCATCTCCGCGAAGGCGAAGAAGGATACCAAACTCGACGACTACGAGATCTCGAAGCTGCCTCTCAAGAAGCAGAAGGAGATCAGGAGGAAACAACAGGCAGTCAAGGCCACGTTCAACTGGAACTCGCTCTACCTTAATGCTGATGCAGTCATGTCCACCATCGCAAGTCGCATGGGCATCAGCAAGGGTGAGCTGCTCGACCCCACTTCGTCAGACGCTGCAGTCAGGCAGGCGCATGCCGAGACACACATCATACAAGAGACGAAGTCGTACTTTGCGCAGCATGGCGTCGACCTAGAGGCCTTTCAACGCAGCGCTAAAGGTGACCTTGCTATCCTCGTCAAGAACGTACCCCACACTGTGACGGCCGACGAGCTTCGAAAACTGTTCGAGGAACACGGCAAGGTGACCAAGTTCCTGATGCCACCGACAGGTATGACAGCCATTGTCGAGTTCTCCAACGTCGCGGAAGCAAAGACTGCCTTCATGTCGCTGTCGTATCGGAAGATGAAAGACTCAATTCTGTACCTGGAAAAGGCCCCCAAGGATCTGTTCAAGGAAGGTGTAGCAACCAACTTTGTGCAGACCACGCCGTCCGCCCAGCCTTTGCAGTCCTCACAGCCCGGTGTGAAGCTTTCTGCAACTGACCTGCTCGTGGACGACCCTGAGCCCGAGGCTACAAACACCGCCACTTTGTACGTGCGTAACTTGAACTTCTCCACCACAACTGAGCGTCTCACGGAGGCGTTCAAACCTCTGGCAGGTTTCCGGAGTGCCACCGTCAAGACCAAGACCGACCCCAAGCGAGGCGTGCTGTCCATGGGCTTTGGTTTCGTCGAATTCAACAGTCCAGAGACTGCCACTGCAGCTTTGCGAGCCATGGATGGACACGATCTCGAAGGGCACAAGCTTCTCATCAAAGCTTCCCACAAGGGCGCCGATGCCGCCGAGGAACGCCGCAACGAGGATGCAGCAAAGAAGGCGGCAAGCACGAAGATTCTCATCAAGAACTTGCCGTTCGAAGCCAGCAAAAAGGATGTTCGTGCTCTGTTCACTCCTTACGGTCAGCTTCGATCCGTACGAGTACCGAAGAAGTTCGACGCTTCCTCACGTGGTTTCGGTTTCGCAGAGTTCACCACCAAACGCGATGCTGTCAACGCCATGAACGCATTGAAAAACACACATTTGTTGGGCCGTCGCCTGGTCCTTGCGTTTGCTGAGACGGAGTCTGATGATCCAGAGAAGGAGCTGGAGAAGATGCAACAGAAGGTGGGAGCACAGGCCAACAAGGTCGCCTTGCAACGCCTTACAGAAGGTGGTCGCAAGAAGTTTAACGTTGCAGGCACCGATGATCTAGACGACTGAGCGCAAGAGTATTCCGATAGGAGTTGCGCGCGCGACACCGTCATACCTTGACGCCATCCCTTGCTCCCCGGCCACACAAGCTAGGCCGCCCTTTGCCGCGGTCCGTAGGAAGTAGTAGGGTGCTTTGACCTGCTGCACGACGCTATATCTAGAACACCGTTTTCTAAGCTTCGACAGGGTATATCGCCAGTGGATTGCATCAATGGGCATGGCCACCACACGGCGTTTCAGACTACTCCAAAGGGAGTAAAGAAGCCATGAACGAGACGTTTGTCGATCATGCAGACTTGACGTAGTTTGTTGTTTGCGGACACTGACCTCTATCCTTGCTTTGAGCAGTCCGTGATGGCTCTGTTCGCCTATGGCCAATCAGGTGACTGTCGAACAGATGGCAGTTTGACTCCATGCCCTTGATCACTCTGCTAACCACGCTACATTTACCATTACAACAGCAAAGGTTTCACGAGAGATGTGATCAATGGCCAAAAGTCGAATTGGGACTCTTTGGAGGCCATGATGAAGGCACGACGCACTCCAATCTTAATCTTGTGGTACTGGACTGTCACCCCGATGACTGGCCCCTCTATCAATTTCCGGCTAGCGGAAGTCGTATTGCACCCTACGGTCGGTGCTATGGCCTACGTGCCTATCATGTAGTCCTCCTGCCTAGGGCCCGTCATCTGGACCATACTTTATCAATGCAATCATCTGCAAACCTCGCCGCATACCCAGCTACATTCTCGTCTTCATTCACCACACTCGTTGCTTCAACTGCTCAACATTCATTGCTTTGTACTTCAAGTCTCATCCATACTTATCATCGCTGGTTTCATATTCTGAGGTTTGCATGCCATAGCCGCCATGCAGGTCCAGTCACCCCAGCCCTTGTCCAGGCTGTCGGCGGACATTCCCCTCTTGGAAGGTACTCCGGTCGATGGATCGCCACAACATCGAGACGTCATCCAGGAGCGTTACGCTGCGCAGTCTCACAACACTCATAGCAGTACAGCCTCGCCACAAGTGGGACAAAGAAGCAGTCTCAGCCCCTCCGACAGCTCTCACGCACAGCGGAGCGTCGCCACAGGAAACTATTACACCGGCAATGTACACGCACAACACATCGGATTGGCCGGCTTCGGCGTCGAGAGGTCAGAGAAACAGATCAGATGCGAGCTCGGGCGACTATACAAGCTACTTCAACGGTCAGAGAAGTACCAGACATATCGCGAAAAGCAACCAGCTCTCACACCGGCCGAAGTCGTCGCGAGAGACGCTGCAGAGAGAAAAGAGCAGGAAAAGAGAAAGGCACAGGGACTACAGCAAGAGAAGGACAAGACCGTCTGGCCTGACTTCTTAGAACAAGCCTTCTGGACGGGTAAGTCTTCATTTCCACTACACCGCATCTCGCAGTACCTCTGTCTCACTACCTGCGTTTTTCACCTCTATTCCCCCACCACCTATGATTACGCAGCTTCACGATTCCAGCCCAACATCTGACAAACATCCCACAGCACTCGTACGATGGCCACCAATGGGTCGGAAGAAATACATGCTCGAAGGCACTCAGCGAGGGCGGAATGAGCTGATCCAGGATTCTATTTACAGAGACACCGGTATCAGACGCGATCGCAAACAGGTTTCCAGCCATCTCCAGGTCCTGAAGGACAAGCTCAGAGGTGTTCCTGCTGGTGAGTGCCCGTCTCGTACATCGTGTAACGATCGGCATCAGCCTCTCCTCATTCGACCAGATGATCGGGGCGGCGGTCCCGCATGCGTCGATCCAGTTTCAAGTCATCAGAGCATTCCTATCTTCCAAAGTTCTTCTAGAAGGCAGTGGCGGTGGCTTTGCGGTTGCTATTCCTGGTGTGATTGGGAGGGTTCCGCTAGGGACTACCAAAATGAGACTAACCTGCACGACAGTCCTACTCTACATGGCCACACCAGAGGACGTCTCTAAGCGCCGATCTACGAATACATCCGCTCGATCATCCTATTCGTCACAGCTGCATGGCCGCCAACATGCGCAGCGCACAGAGTCTGTTACCAAATCCGATTCCAGTACCTCCTCGCCGCACGTTTTGCCGCATTGTAGCGGCCCACAATCCGACCTCGCCCTGGGTTCCGGCCTGGATTCTGATGCGCTGTCTTCTTCATTCGCAGTCACGGGCTTCAAGATCCTCCTTGAGGGTGATCATCAGCCTATGCACTGTTTAGCTCACTCACAGTCGCATGGCAGGCTCGATAGCTCGGATGTTGTAGATCTTGCCTCTTGGCGCCATCAATACCGCGAGTTTGACTTCCTCCGATCCGAGACCGAGGAATGGATGGAGAACGGTCGGAAAGTGTTGGTCGGTACCGCATCTACTGCCTTGATGACAGATGTGCCGCCAGATGCCGACCTAACCATCATCTTCGATCTTCACTCGCATTCCGATTTGTCAAGATACGACTATGTCGAATGCATGACGCGATTTTACAATAGCGGCGAGAACGCAATCGACCCGCAATTTGACCGCACGAGGCATGACCGGGAAGAAACGCGATCCACTTGCGAGTATCGGCGAGACCCCAAAGGCTCTCAAGGTGTCTTATGCGTGCAGTTTACGACGCAGACATGGGCGAGGCATGTGAGGGAGAACCAGAATCTGACGCACAGGAGCGAGGAAATTGTCAAAGAACCGCTTCAACACCTGGCAGCAATACAATACATATATGGTGTTGTTGCTAACACAGGCGAGGTCCGATGCCTCACTACAGTTCTTTGGAGGTTCCAACAGACGAGTGAATCTGCAGTTGTTGGCAACATTGAGTGGCGTTCCGTGAAGTTCGCTGATCATCGATCAGCTGCAGGAGAAAGACGTTGTTATGAGGCGATATCCAAGACTGAGGATTCGGAAGACACGGAAGATGGTCACAACCGTACTCCGGCCATACAAACCTCTACACATACAGTTGCGACGCCTTATTACCAAACTACACAACTACCACTGGACTTGGCACAGACACATATAAGCCACCACTCATACGACACTGAGTCTCACCATGCGTACTTGCCACAACCTCTCTCCGTTGATGTTCTCGAGCCAATGCAACCCGATTCGGACCACCTCGACACCTCGGTGGCCACCACTACCGCTGAGTTCTCTGGCGAAAGCTTTGCACTATCACGTACTTCAGGCATGGCATCGCCGAACACACAAGGCAATGACTTCAACTTCAACGGCGGGTACGTGGGAACCAGAGGCAACTTCGAATCTGGCAACCCCCAGGTATATGGAGGCTTCCTCAGCCAAAGCACTGGACATGAGGGATTGCATACGCTTGCTGGACTGGAGCACGATGAACTCGCAACCATGGGGCTTGCTGTCGGCGAACATGGTCAGCTGATTCCAGTGGATGCAAACAATGATCTGCACTATTCCACCAATGCAGCTTGCTATTCAGCCAAACCCAACTGGCAGCACGCACATCTCGTTTCACACCTCGAGAATGCAGCAGAGCAGTATCGCCCTTACCTGAACCATGATGGCCATGCTCAGGTAGCACCAAATCCCGGCACTGTCCATGGCCACGACCCATATCAACAAGTCGGTCAAAGACAGGATTCAGTGGCGGGTATTTTCCCCAGCGTGAATCACACTTTTTGGGGTTTGCACGGGCTCCAAAGCCCATTTCAAGACGACATGGGCAGTGGTGCCGTTAATGGGACAGAACACTTGGAAGAGCAAACACACGGTCCAGACTACGGTGTGCCGGGTCTAGTTGAGAGAGACCAAGCAGGAAGAGGTTATTAGACCTCGATCGGCTCCCTTGAGGTCGCTTACGATGAAATGACTTTATGTTGGTTACATATGTATCATGTAGATTAAGATTAGCTAGATTATCGAAAGAGTATAGAGGTCTCACGATGGCCAAATTTGATACCTATCTCGTACGACATGTCTCGACACACTGATCGCAAAACGCTCGTCTCCTGCACGCACAACAGCCCTTAGCTATTCCGATCCCTTTGACGCCGCGAAGATACATGAAACATGGTCGACCCACTGACGCATGCATCTGACAGACACACCCGAGCCGCTCAAAACTACACGCTAGCAACGGCAATGGCGTCAGACTCCCGGCACAGGCATTAAACGGTCGATAGGGCGTTCCTTACACTGCACAGCCGATCAACCTGCATACAAACCTAAAATAGACAAGATATGCACATGTAAAAGCTTTGATCTTCGGGGTAGGAGCCCAACAAACGCTACACCCGATCCCGCATAACGATCTGTAAGGACATTGTGGCATGTAATGTAGGCGGACTCCATGGAATAAACTACGTAATTGCCAACGGCCGCGGCCACACCCGCAAGGGAAGCGGTGCGCCTCGGGTACCCTGGATGTTCAGTCCATGGGCATGTGCATGATCCCTTTGCTGGACTCAGCCACGATAACAGATGTTGTTTAACTAATGCAATCGCTACACCGCATGTGCGCACCGGCGTCATTACAGCCCAAGGTCCTGCAAGACGCCCAAGCCGCGTCGAGTGGACAAACGCGCTGGCGCGCGGTCACGCCTGCTTGCCCGCATTGAGCGGGGCAAACAGCGAGAAGGCTCCACTTTCAAGCGACGACAACAGCAAGCGCTCGGCACGCTACTCGTTCGTGGACTTTGCTATGGATACGGCGGGCGAGGATTTGAAGAGATATTTGATTGTTCCGACACTTTCTTCTTCTTCTGCTGCTTCATTACTTCCGTCTTCAAGTCTGGTTGCTGGTAGTGAGGAAAAACAGATCTCTGTGAGGAGCAGCGAGGATACGAAATACGAGCAAACAGCCTCCACAACTAACAAGGCTGAGAAGAGAAAGATGGAAGTCGATACACACGCTCCTCTACCCAATTCCTTCGGAGGTGCGCATGCAGAAGCTATGGATCCGAGTACGCCACTTGACGGCGTTATAAGCATGGACGATTTCATGATCCAGAACAAGCACGTACATGAAGCCCAAAAACTCGTCAAGGAAACCAAACAACCCGCACTTCCCCCCTCAAAGAAGCCCAAAACACCCAACCAGAAACCCAACCCTCTTGTCCCTGTAGCAGTCGGCGCCCGCTCCTCCCGGCACACAATCCTCCTCCACGAAAAATACCAAGCCCTCGGCATCCCGCAACCACTCTTCACCTACGGAGGCGGCAGTGAGACCGGATGGACAGTATCTGTGAGCTTTCCTGGCCTGGATGATGCGGAGGAGCTGCAGGGCTTGAAGTTCGAGGAAGAGAGGAAGTTCAATAGTAAGCAAGAAGCCAAAGAGGCTATGAGTCAGAAGGCGTTGGGTGTGTTGGAGGAGTTGGAGAAGCTGGGGAGGGTCAAGAAGGGTGGGAAGGGGAAAAAGAAGAAGGGGGGTAGTGAGGGGGAGGGGAAGGTTGTGGAGAAGGGGAAGGAGGAAAAGGAGAGGGGACCTGGTGAGAATTATGTTGGGAAGTTGCTTGGTATGTTTTATTCTTCCCTTCTCGTTCATGTGCTATCGTAAGGCACACATCTCCATCGTTGAGATGCACAGATCTTCTCATTCAGCTAACAAACATCAGAGTTTCAGCGCGCAACCGATTCCCCCCAACCCACATACACCGACTACCAATCCGGCCAACGCTTCTCCTGCATCATCACCATCGACGGCGAAGACCAATCCTTCGGCTCCATCTCTAACCTCTTCTCCTCGAAAAAAGCCGCACGTCAAGACGCCGCCCGCCACGCCGTCGAGCATTTCAAAAGCCTAGGTACCTGGCCCACCGATGACACCGCCGTCGGCGGCATCCGCAAGAGAAAGAAAGCCTCCCCCACCGACCCAGACACCGTCTCAATATCACCACTACCAGACAACTCCAGTTCCCCCTCCACACCCCCCATCCAAGCAACCACACCCACCCCCGCCCCTCCAGGCACGCCCTCCTACGCCTCCCGCGTCGCGACCCTCGCCGTCACGCTCGCCCTGCCGACTCCAGAATGGAACTACACGCCCCACCCCTCCGATCCCACGTTCCACAGCGTATGCTGTTTCTTTAAAGGCGCGGGACAGCACGAGGGACCGATTGGTGAAGTGAGGAATATTTACGGCAGGAAGAAGGCGAAGGAGGAGTGTGCAAGGTTGACGTTGGAGTATTTGCAAGAGGTGAAGGAGGAGAGGTTGAGGTATGGGATTAGTGTTATGAGGGGGGTGCTAGGCGAGGAAGGTGTTGAAGGTGTTGTTGGGGCGGGTTTGGGTAGGGTTGGATTGGGTCAGGGCGAGGGAGTGGAGGCGGGTGGGGAGGAGATGGTTAGGGATGTGGGGGGTAAGGTGAGGTTGGGGATGGGGCTTGATGGTGTGGATGAGAGGATGGGGGATATGGATGTGGATGTGGGGGAGAGTAGTGAGGATGAGGTGTTTGCTGATGCTATGGAGGGCTAAGGGTTGGTGTCCACTTTGGAGGCGTCGGACTTGGATAGAAGATGGCTTGTGCAGGAGCTATGGGGCGGTGTTCACCGAGTTCGGATAGAGATGGATCGGACAGAACCTTGTATATTGGCGCAGAACAACTCTGGGTTTGACTGTAGCATAGTCCTCTGATGAATACCCATACAACATATCAAAGCCCTCGTCCTCCCCCACTTTCACCCAACACATCTACCTCACCATCTCCGCACACATATTGAAGGGGAAAGCAATCGAACACCCAAGTAAAATGACCAGTAATATTCGCGCATCTCCACGATACACATGTCTAAACTCCATTCCTACCTCCCGCAGAAGGCATGAAGTAGACAGGGAGACTAGTTGTACAGTTTACCCAGTCCCGCTAACATTTGAGATACACTGGATGGGAGGCTCACTAAGCCCACCTCGACACTCTTCGCGTAGAAAAAAGCAGAATATCCATTCGCACCATGCGCCGTGATAAAGAGACCCAGCGACGACAACGACAGGAGGTATAGATGTACAGGTACAGACGACCATTGCGACCGTAAAGCCCAAGGACTCAACCACAGAATCAGAAACCAGGAAGTCGGTCGCTCTTCTAAGACGAAGCAACCTCGCTCTTCCTCTTACTCCGATCGCGCTTCTTCTCCTTACCAGCCTTATCCGCCTTCTCCTTCTCCTGCGCCGCCGCCGCGTTCTCTTTATCGCCTTCCATCTCCGTGTTGCGCGTGCTACGACCGGATTTGGCCTTCTTCTTCGCGGCGCCCGTCTCCTCGGGGGGAGTGGGTTCGTCGTGGGAAGATGCAGGGGCAGGAGCGATGGGTTGGGGCGCGGATTTCTCCTTCTTCTTCTTGTCTTTCTTTGCGGGGGTTTCGGCGACGGCGGGGGCGGTGGAGGTAGTGGCTTGGGGTGCGGAGCGCGAGGTAGGAAGCGGGACGGGCGTGGACGCTGTGGCGGGCGCGATGGAGACGGGGATTGAGTTGCCGTTTACAGCGGGCGTGGTCTTCTGGCGCTTGCGTGGTGTCTTCGCGGGGGGAGAGGGGGCTTTGGCGGGCGCTTCGTCTTCGTCTTCCGAGGAGGCGTCGCTGTCTGCGGCGCCGGCTTCGACTTCGGCTTCGATTTCTGGTTCGCCTTCCTCGGATGCGTCGTCTTCTTCGATTTCGGCGTCCTTGATGCCCTTCTGCTTGACGTATTCGGCCATTTGCACTTTCCACTCTTCCATGGAGTTGCGGTAGGATGCTTTCCATTCCTGTGAATGGGTTAGTGAGACGTCGATTGTTGGGTTTTGTGATCGTGTGCTTACCTCCTTCTCCGCGTCGGAAAGCTCAGCCCAGCGCCTGTTGACCTCGGTCTGGACGGCGGCTGGAGCAAGTGTGCCACCGGGAGCGAGCGCTGCCTCCAAGTCCGCCTTCACGATGGGACGCGCGTGTTGGTGGTAGAGGAAAGCAGCAGTGAGGGGCTTCTTGGGCGCATTGGGGTCTTTCTCCTTCTTCTCGCGCTTGCGCTTCTTGCTCTTGACGCCGTCAATTGCTTTCTCAGCAGGCGCGCCAACGTCTCCGGCTACGCTGTCCATGAGCTTTTGGCCACTCTCTACAACATTCGCGGCGGTCTTGATGGTGCTTGTGATAGCATCGTTCTCGGTTGAGACGTCGTCTTTTTCGATGCCAAGGACTGATGCGCAGTGCTTGTTGTAGTGGTCCATGAGGACGGTGATCTGGTGTTGTACGTTGACGAGACCATTCTGGAGGCTGTGAAGAGAGCCCAGAACCTGCGCGTAATTGTAAGTTTTTGCTTTGAAACCACGATGTATCGGGTCGCGTAGATTACGCGATCCATGTTACACAGACTTATCCATATGGCGACGTGATGGTGGCGCGATAATGCGCGCTGACCGCGTGGTGTTCCGACGCGACGACAGAGCTATGCGCGCGTGTCGCAATTGCGATTGCAGAGTGCAAAAAGGGAATTGGGTACGTACGTGGTCTCTGGTCCTATTGAATTCTGCAACAGAGATCAGCAATTCGCCGGTGGCGGGCGTCTTCTTCTTGGGGACCATGTTGGGCGGCGTGGTATGGGCAGAGGGTGAAGACGCGTTGACGGGCGGGAGGTTGAAGAGGGAGGGCGCGGGAAGGGCGGAGGAGCGCTGAAATTTCGGGGGGTCGGGGGCATAGCTCCCTTAAGTGACAGCCCAAACACAAGCGAACGTGCCCTGGTTTTTGGGCAGTCACCAGCCCATTCGGGGGGGCACCAGTAAATTAATGCCCCCAAAATTCAGATCTAGGCTTACTTTTCGCGCGTGCAGCCTGTACAAAAGGCGCGTTTTCAAGATGCATCCAGACAAACTGCACGCAAAAGTTATGCGCAGTCTCTTTTAAGCGTCTACTGCCTTTCAGACGCCATTCTCTACTATCAGCGCGCATTCTATCTCTGTTGCGCAATGCATATCTCTGTTGCAGCGTGTTGTGCAACTTGGGTGGCGTAGGCCGCCTATTAGAGCGAGGGCGCCCATCCGCTGGGCAGAGTGCGCCTGGCAAGTGCCCCCCAAGCCGCCCGTGATAAGGCCTCGCTTTGGTGCCACCTCCCCATCTTTGCCTGTGTTTCAGGCGCCGTTTGGCATTGCCTGCCACCACCACGCAACATGTCAATTTGAGTTTTCAAGACGCCACAACTTTGCGCATGATGCACCATGATGGGATTTCACACAATCTTGCTCTCTTCTGCAGTTATATTTGATATCATTGCTCTATCTACTCCTTGAATCGACCACCTTCGCTGACGTCAGGGTATACGTCAAATCGCCTCTGTCCATACAGTGGAACTCCCTTCCTTGTCTCCTCGATCTTGCCCGCCTCCAGTTCGCGGATGAGTACACCCTCCTTCTCGTCTAGCTGCTCTAGCACTACCGCATTGGGGTCAACGACCATGCTGTGTCCCCACGCGTTGTATTCGGCCTCCATATCTCTTGCCGGACTACAAAGTCCAACGTAGACCTGGTTGTCCGTCGCCCTAGCCCTCGCCAACAACTCCCAATGTAACGCGCCGGTCGTGAGATTGAATGCGCCAGGGTATAATAGCAGGAACGCGCCTTTCCTCGCCGCGATCATGGCGAGCTCGGGGAACCGTATGTCGTAGCAGATGGCTATCGCAATCTTTCCGTATTCGGGGAGGTCGACTAGTGTGATCTTATTGCCTGGCGACAGCACCTCGCTCTCCTTGAACTTGATCTTCCCTGGGATGTCGATGTCGAACAAGTGCACCTTGCGATGAGTGGCAAGTAGCTCTCCACTAGGCGCAAATGTCAAACTTGTGTTGTACAGCTTCTTCGTATCCTTATCATCTCTCTCCGGTATGCTTCCTCCAACAAGGTATACGCCCGCCTCTTTCGCCAATTTGCTCAGTGCGTGGAACGTCTGCGATTGCGATTCCGATGGCGGAGATGGGAGGAGTGTCTCGGCGTACTTGTCGAAGTACTTTGTTCCGTAGGGCGAATTGAAGCATTCGGGCAGGACTACGAGTTTTGCGCCGGCTTTTGAGGCATCGAGCACCTTTTGGCGCGCTGAAGTGAGGTTCGCGGTCTTATCGGCGCCTGAGGCGAGTTGGATGAGCGCGAGCTTTAGGGACTTTTTGAGGAGGGACGCCATGGTTCGTGCTTGTGTGAGGAATTGGTGAGACTACAAGGGAAATAATCCGGGGAAACTCGAAGCTGAAGTATATACAATGCGATGTTGGAGGTCTGGTTGGAGTGTTGGAGTAGAGTTGGGGTGGGGGTTAGCTCCAGATGTCCGCACGATGACATCGCTCGGACTTGCCGCCCCGATCATGGCGGGGTGTGCCTGCCGACGCGTTGGACGCGTTCCTTCACTCCTCCACCACACCACACCACACGCCGATATCGTTTACTTCAGAAACATTGCGCAAGCGCGTCACTAGTCGTCACTCAAAGACACTGAAAGTAAGAGATCACACTCTACAGTTGTCTTACACCGCGTTTGTTCACAGAAGACGACATTCCATTGCTTGATACCACCGCTCTGACAGTACCCATCGTTCCTTCCGACTCTCCACCATGGATGTCCACAATGGAACAATGAAATTTACTGAGTGTAGGTAATCGTCCAGCAAATGCCATCTTAACAACCACACGCTACCACCATAACATATTGGTGTCGAAGGAACTCTTGATAGGAAAGATCCCCAGATAGAAACCCCTCATGCGATCCATTAACAACATCAAGTTCGCAGCCTCCTGGTGATCCAGGACGTATGAACCAATCCGCTCCCGTACACTATAAGGCAAACCCATCAGATGTGGCGCTGGCGATCGCATTGTGGCGCGAAGCTTGCCTGTCTTCTTCCCAGGGTGCAGCAGGAGGTATTGTCGCGTGTCCTGATGACTACCGCTTTGTCCAAGCACAATGTACGCAAAACCCTTTGGCTTGTCCTCCGGAGTCAACGTTCTTGGCGCAGTCATCACAGCAACAACCTGTCGGGAGTACCTTTCGAAGGCGACGGTATCTGCGCGAAGGTATTCGAGTGTTGTGTTCGCGGCCTCGATGTCAAAGTGTGACTGGCTGTGGCCATCTTCAGACCACGCGTTCGAGCTAACGAATTCGAAGTGACATTTCGCGGCTGAGGGTGACCACATCGCCTTTACGAGTGGAGTAATGTTGGTACTCTGGTGCCATAAGTTATGCATGAGGCAGGTGCCCTTGCGACATCCATTGGCGACATCAATTTTCACCTGTCGGACATACTGCATCTGGGAACCTAGACACCAGTTCGCAGCCGACTGGATCTGTCTGAGATCTTTTGTAGCCGACTGAAGGCGCTTATAATCTGGTACACAGTCGGTCGGTGCCTTGCCAAAGACGAAAGTGTTGTTGCTGTACAAGACACTCGCGGCCTCGTCGTAGATCTGGCGACAGCTGAACAGCAAGTTGATACCGCCGCGGATACTGGTGAACGCATCCGACTTGACTGGTGCGCATGAAATTGGTATGTCCTCTTCGTCGTGGGTATACTCGCTCATCACTTTTTCTTGGTCCTCGGAATACTCGAACCGAATGCTTGCGTGGTGCTCAAAGAGATGGACGTATATCATAGTGCGGATCTCACCTGGTAGTTCGAGAATTGAGCCGCCGCTGTGGGCTTTGCTGGCTTTCGTACGCGGGATATCGATGAATCGGGATGGCATCTTGAATGGTTGAGCGTGAGTTGGGGACTGCGCAAGGCCGGAACTGGTGGGTCTGGTGTTGATATACACAGGGAGAGAAGGACAATGTGGCAGCCTGGTTGACCAAACACATGTAGTGCACTGACCCGAGGGGAGCTTCGATACGTTCCCGACTAGCTCTCGAACGTTACGACTTTGAGCTCACATCGCCACTACGGAATCTGCCTGGTGCACAGACATTCAAAAGGTCTCCGTTCATTGCTTCTGTATATGAACCGGCTTTTCGATCTCAAGCACTTACCGCACTTTCAGCACTCAACTCTCTTACTCGAGCCAACAACATGGCGCCGAACAACACGCCGATGCCGATCGCAAAAGGCAACTCTACGAAAGCCAACCCGGATATTCTTTCCTTCCTCGATCTACCAGCCGAAATCCGAAACCAGATATATGGAATCCTCTTCACGAAAGGTGCCGTAGACAGTCAGGCGCATCAACTGCACGACTGTAATTTCAGGCGTTGGTACCCGCCGCCCGCCGCAGAGTTGGCATCTTCGACGAGTATAAGACTAAAGAATACGGACGAGGATCACGTATCCTTTGTAAAAGATGGTTGCCATATCGAAGGTATACAAAGCACACGTGCACAATTCCTCGCAGGGAAGCCATTACTCTCAACATGTCGACAGGTCTATCACGAAGCCGTCACCACGTTTCTGAAGAGTAACACCTGGACCGTCGCATTGAAACGTTATACATCTAGATCCCAGCTTGTCACACTTTTACAAGACGCAGCAATCTTCCTGAGCGGACTTGGTTCTCAATCCGGATTGCTAAAAAAATTGGAAATCGACATGGTGGGAACATGTTCTCCTACGTGTCAAGACCTTCATATTTCTCGTGATATCCAGGACCCATACCTCGCGATAGCCACTAGCATTAGGTTCAAAGACTTAGTGAAAGAGCTCCACAAGCCTTCCAACAACGCTATCGACGTGGAGATTATGTTTGGCACTCCATTCAACCATCCAGCACGTTGCATGACAACCCCTCTAGCTACTTCCGGCCTCGACCTCTTTCGTCTGAACAACGTACTCCGACTTCTAGTCCAAGATCCTCTCGGCTTTCTCAAATATGGCGATGCAGTACACGAAATCCTTATTGATAGGGATGGCAGAACAGGGGGCATCTTCTTTGGTCGCTCGTTCATAGATCCGACTCATAAGCAGTATTTCCGCGTTTCCGAAAACGGTGACGCAATAACTCTTATTCCTCCCTCCAAATTGGACCACATACTGAAACTGCCAGAAAACATCAGAAGCGAGATAATCAAGCACGTCACACAACGCGGAAAGACCATAACCTTCGACTTGGAGAAGGGGACATGTGAGGACGGGGACCTGGTTCTGGCTTCCGTGTGTCAGAAACTTAGAGGGGAGAGCTTCAGTCAACTCCAGTCAACCAACAAGTGGATAGTCAAAATGGCTTCCAAGGACAAACGTACCAACTTTGACGAGTTTCGCAAACTAGAGAAATTTTGGTGTATTGGCAGATCGGCACAGTTTCCTTGGCGCGGCAGGGAAATACATACACTTCAACACTTCGACTGTTTGCTTGAAGTAGAAACGGCGACTACTCCAGAGAATCTCCGTATCAACATCACCGACTTCCTTCGTATCACTTCTACTATAGGAAACAAGAAAGGAAATCTTACTACATCTGCGACACGCGGCCAGGACGTCGCCCCATCGAATACCTCCACATCCTTCGAGGAACTACGCTGGTACGTCCTAATAGCTCTAACAGAGTTCATCCGCAAGCATCCAGATGCCAATCACAGGCCCTGCCCCAACATCTGGCTCAATGGTCTCGGCAAAGTGGTTGAAATCGAGAGCGCAGACACGACGATGAATCCTCACGCGTACATACAAAAGTACACACCCTGGAGCACATATCGCCGTACCATCTTCCGAGAATACGGCGTTCCACTCAAAGGGCATACTTACTGGCACGATATGGATGGCTATACCCCGCCTGCCGAGGCTTTCGACGGCTCTGCACGCTTTTATATCGGCTGGCTCCAGCGGTGTGGGTTTGGTGTGAGTCCGACGTACTGGTCTGATGCCTGTAAGTTGTTTTGGGTCTTGTTAGTAATGAGGGGGTATGCTGACTGCTGTAGATTTCCAGATTCCGGGTGCGTAGGTAGGTTAGGATGGCGCGGGTACAAGCTAGTAGCGCGGCAAGGGTGATTTGGAAGGTGGGGCTCACTGGTTCATAGCCTGTTTGTGGGGAAAACGAGTGCGATGGCTCTAGGCAAGCAGACTTTCACCAATGATAGGTACTCGGCTGCTGGGTGGGTCGAGGAGGCGGAGGGGAGGTGGTTTAGGTCATCTCTGGCAGCTTGGTGCGAGTGTGAAAGTTCTCAGGGCTGCTGACGGTGGCGAAGGTTGAGAGACAAGAGAACATTCACTTTTTGTCAACGCTGGTATGTGCCCTTCTCCACTCGTATTACGGCTACGGTCGTACATGGTGCCTATTCAGGCTATCCCGTGTGTACTTCTATTCACTCTTACCAGTACTTACGCCTATTAGCTCTTGCTCGTACCGTAGCACATTCAATTACCGACGCGGCAGGCGATACTCTTTCACCAATACTATGTAGTTGGGTGCTACCTCGGCCCAAGTCACAGTCAAGAGAAAAGGGCTTCACTTCATGCAAGCAAGGTGAATCTATGTCAGGACGTACGAGCGATACTGGGGCACAGACGCTGACCTTTCTTCCTTTGTTGTATATAACGACCCGTACAGCCGACTCTCATCCCCTCAACTCACCCGAACTCAACAGCTATGGCAACACTCCCGCGAACGGAACCAATACGGGAAACCCCAGCCATACCCGCTGTGGCTGGTGCGAAAACGCTCTTCTCTCTACCTGGAGAGATCCGGAACAAGATCTATAGCTATCTACTTCCGGCCCACGGCGAGATCGAAATACATCAGCTTGTCCGAGACCAGAGGTTTGCTTCCGCTGATACTCGTCCGATACACACCCAACACGCACATGCTCTAAAGCTGCTTATCACGTGCCGGCAAGTCTACCACGAGGCCACGTCCTTATTCCTGTCGAGTAACACGTGGGTTATCTCAAGGGCTTCGTATGACAAGTCGGGGTACCGAGTTACACAAGCAGACGACCTCGCAACTTGGTTGACTATGCTCGGATCTAGTGCGACCATGGTACATAAGGTTATTCTCAACTTGGCTGAAAACACCGACAATGGCGGTGACCAACTCAAATGGCGCCTAAAAATTGACTCCAGCAAGGATACAACTGATATGGCTGAGGCTGTCAAACTAGGCAATCTGCTGAAGTGTCTCTGGGCAACCCCTAATGCGATCCGTAAGATCAAGATTGTCAGCCCCAAGGGAGCAGGCAAACACTACAAGTACCGGAATAACAATGATTTTAATCCCATATTCAGCAAGACACATCCGGAGAACAGAGGTAACAAGACACATCCAGTCTTTGACACTAGTGCCATCACAAACGCGCTCATAGCTCTCCGACGCGACGACCTCGGTCTGAAGAACTGTGGACGTCAGGTGCACGATGTTCTCATCCGAAGAGATGGTCTAGAAGGGTATATCCTGTTCGACTACAACTACTATAAGCCGTCACACGATCGTCCCAAGGTTGAGAGGACCTACGTCGAGCGGAAGTTCTCCATCACGAACGGCGGCAAAACACTGTCACTTCAACCCACCGACACCCCCGGATTGATGAACCTACCCCAGCACCTGAAGATCCGCCTTTTCGAATCGCTTTGTCTCGCTAAAGGATTCCTTGACCCTTGGCGAAGTATAGTCACCATTGATCTGGACCAAAAGACCACTGTGGGCGCAACTCCAGTGCTGGAATCGGTATCGCAACATCTGCGATCGGAGTGCTACTACCGCTTCTGGCTGGCCAATATCATCTCAGTCAAGATGCGGAGTACAGACGTAAAAACAGACTTCGACCACTTCGACAAACTCCGCGTCTTCTGCTGCACTGCGTCTACTCCACGTGAGCCCTGGAGAATGAGCAACAGACGTAAAGGAATCCGCGACCTGGAGTTTCTACTTCAGTTCAACGTTTCGTCTGTACCCAAACTCGATGATCTGCGTATCAATATACTCGACTTCCTACGCGTGACGTCGTATCTCGATAGTCGCGACAGGAGAATTACCTTCCAGATCGGGGACAAAAACGATAAGGCATCTGTTTCCTTAGCCCATCTCCGCACATGCGCTCTCATCGCCCTGACCGACTTCCAACAAACGTACAAGCGCACCCGCCCAGATACTAAGCGCTGCCCTAATATCTGGGTCAACGGCTACGGGCGCATCGTGTGCGTTGAAGGGCCAGGCGGCAAATCAATAAATCCATCGGAGACCATACAGCGGAGTGTGTCGCGTGGAGATGGTGGTGAAGATGTGATTGTGATCAATCGAGATTTTCGCAAGAAGTATGGTGGAAATGTAGAAGATGGGGATTTTACGACGTGCGCAGGCCGCCTGTTTGATGGCACGTTAGGGTGTTATTTGGGGTATTTGCAAAGTGTGGTGGTGGGGGATGAGGATGCGGCGTATTGGGCGGGGAGATGTAAGTTCTTTGTTTGATCTGGCTGTGAAGAGAGAGGCTGACTGATGTGTTTAGACTTTGTTTGCAGTGGATGATTTGGTTGTCGTGTGCATCGCACGGGACCGCGAAGTACGATGCGGTTTAAATCACGGCTTGCGGTTTGCAGCACTAAGAAAATTGATTATAAGGCGGCATGGACAAGCTCTGTTTGAGTGTAGCTCAAGATAGCAATGGTGACGAACGATATCAGGTACTCATGATCACCGACAACGCAACTGCTTCATTGAAGTACCAGGCACGCTGAAGATAAAAGAACACGGGCTTCCCACATCACGATCTCTCACACTCTGAATTCTCATCATTCTCCGCTACTTCTCGCTGACGCGTGTCTACCTCTAATTTCTATCGAGACTTTCCAAAATAGCAACACCGACCATGTCTGATGAGGCTTCTTACATGGAGTTCATCGACAGACCTCTATACCTGCCTATCGCCGAGGGTAATTCTACACCATGCGATTCGACAGCACCCTCATTCCTGACCACGTTTCCTGCCGAGATTCGGAATGCTATATACGACATTCTCTTCTACGTACCAAGGGGTATACGAATGCAACACGGGTATTATAACCCCGTTTTGGAAGACCAGCAGCTGCGTGAGGACTTGGCAACCGGCCTCCCTCTTCTATCTACATGCCGCCAGATCTATTGGGAAGCTGGTACAATTCTTTTCTCCAACAATACCTGGATCCTTTCCAGGGGTTTCGCATGGATGGAGTACAGCATGAAGGAGAATGCAAGGATAGTAGAGACCTCAGGTGCTGCGTACTTACTCCAGATGTTTGGCACTCGTAAGGTGATGGTAAAAAGAATTCTCCTCGACTTGGATAGAACATGTCCGGTCCCATGTCCTATCCATAACCCAATGCACCCGCTGCAAAACAACGGAGGACGATTCACCGGAATTGAACGAGTAATGGAGGTGTCGAATCTCATGGCCGAGATGGCTCACATACCGGATCTCAAGGTGGAATTTGTGCATCCAAAACGCCAAGCTTACCATGATCTTCATCCTCCAAATGGCTCTGGCCAGGTCGACCTAGGCCTTCAACTTGACATGCTCAATAATACCTTACTGACCTTACGGAAAGACACTATTGGCATCAGAAAGTACGGACGACAGGTTCAAACCGTGCATATCGAGAGGGACTGTACACAGGGCTATGTAGTATTCTACATGCCGAACTTCTTCGTTGAATACAAAGACACATTTCAGCGACCATTCGTCATATCTGATGGAGGCAGAACGTTCAAGTGGGCGAAACTTGAAAGAACAACGCCTAATCTTACCAACTTGGTGTGGCATATTAGGAACGCAATTCTGGACGACGTTACATTCCCAGGCGATGATCACCAAGGCAGCCGTGGCGCTGAGATCGTTTGGGACCTGGATACAATGACCTTGACTGGAGCATCATTTGTTGCCAGTGCAATATGCCAGGAGCTCCGCAACAAATACTGGACAACGGTCTGGCACGACAAGAACATCGTTGTCAAGATGAGTACTGACCAGTCACGTACGGACTTTGAAAAGTTCCGAAATCTCAAACTTTTCACGTGTAGACGCAGGGCCAGCCCCTGGACTGCTTACGGCGATCCGTTCTGGAATTCGGATGTAACGCTCCTGCTAAAATTCGAAACGCCATCTGACGTCACGCTGGAAGACATCCGCTTCAACATCGGCCATTTGGTGCGAGTTATGACAGACTGGGGTGGTAATACCAAGATTACCGTCTCTGTACCCCGAAAGAAAGATGAACCGCGTGTTGAGGCGAGCATGAACCTATGGATGTCTCGAGCTTCCGTGCTGACCGCGCTTTCGGGTGCTGGAAGACGCGAGAGGGAAACTTATCGGATGACCACCCATCCCGCTGTGTGGATGAATGGCCGGTTTGAAGCCTTGGAGGTCGATTTGGAAGACGTTGCGCCGCCTTGGAGAGAAGAGGGATTTGAATGAGCGGCCTTCCTCTGACGTGCTGGGTGCAGATTTGTGGGTCCTACTCAAGAGCAAGGTTACGTTATTGCGTTATACTGACTGATCCTGTGTAGTTGTAGCTCTCGATAGCCAGTCAATATCTACGAGACATCGATGCGACGGCAGCTCTTCACAACCGTTCATGCTATCTTGTGGCTCTGCTGTGATGTAGTTTGCATGGTTTCTGAAGGCCTAACCGGGTGTGGGGGAGAAGGTTTAGTGGAAGCAGCAGGCAGACAAGAGGTAGCAGTGTGATGGCTGCGAAGTATTCAAGAAATGTATTTGAGCTGAGTGCCTTGGCGTATCTCAAGCTGTGTCATCGTGAGACTTGTTTGGGACTATATCCTCCGTGACGCGAACCTCGTGGCTTCCCTCCAATTCCGATAGCACGATCCAGGTTGGGAAGACACACAGCACCGTTATGCCAAAGTTGATACCGATACTGACGAAGTGGTTTGCACCACCTTCTGATTGCATACTGTTGCGGTTGTTAGTTGATGATTTGCGAAGGCTTTCCAAGAATGGCAATACTTACGCCCAAGCAACTGTTTGACCGAGAGCCTCCACACCACGCAGAATACCGGTAAGATGGCTCAGATTGGAAAGGTCCGTCGCATACTGGCCTACTAACCAGTAAAGGAATTGCTGAAAGGCCTGACCGCCGAATTGCCAGAAGAAGACAAGCGCATAGCTCTTTCCAAAGCCGCCTTGGAACCAATCGAACACCGGGGATTCCGATGCATCGTAGTTTTGCTTCTGCAGAATCGTTGCCCAGATCCATGTGCCGACAAGGATGGTGATGATGGTGCAGAATGCAATGCGACCGCGCTTCTTGATGTGGATCTTCTGATTGTCGAGGAGGAAGGCGATGATAAACGAGGAGAAGATACCGGCAAAGTTCGTGAAGAAGGAGGAGAACGCGCGAGCTCGGACGGTGAAGTACGTCGTCAACCAGGTGCTCATGAAGCCGTTGTAGAAGTAGCTGATGAAGAAAGCTGGCAGCAAGAGTAGAATGCGGCGGCTGACGAACAGCTTGCCGACAGCCTTGAACTCAGCACCCCAGGTCGCGGCGCGCTCAGTGACGATCCTCGTGCCATCCTTTCGCCAGACCTTGTGCGCTGGCGACAAGCACAGGGCTACTGGAAGGCCGAGACACATGATAACGATAAACACGATGTATGTCGTTGATGATACCGATCCAGTGGTTTTGCGGTTCGCGTTTAGTCCCAGGTTGATAGATCCTCCAACAATCGGTCCAAGTGCCTTCGCGGTCTGCCAAATGGCAAGGTAGAAGGCACGGTCTCCGGGTGAAGGATACCCGATGATGATAGCAGCCTCGGCAGCCCAGAAGAAACCAGCGGAGATACCACAAAGCGCGCTACCAAACAGCATGAACCATGTATTCGCAGAGATGTTGTTGGTGTAGAGACCAGCGCCATACAGAGGGTACCCAATAGCACCCAATGCAAGACCATACGTCAATCCAATACGGTTGTTGATAGCTCCGGCAGCAACACAGACCACAGCGAAGAGTCCGTATACCAGAGCATTGGCGGCAGAGACGGCGTACGGTTCAGCGGCGCCTCCAGCCCCTAATCCACCAAGCGCATCCCACATTCCCGGAGCCGTGAACGAGACACCACATGCGACCAGGATCTGGAAAGGTACCGAGCGGAAGAAGGGTCCAGAACCCTTGATGGAGCCCGAAGGCTCAGACAAGGAGGCGGACGACATGGCGATGCGGAGGCGAAAGATGGAGAGAAAAGATGTCGGGATGAGGTGAAGAACCTCAGTCCAACGTGGAGACTACATATCTTAAGAGTTCGGACGACACCGCGATGCTTGGCGAGCTTGGTATCCAATTTTTCTCCCTTAGTGATGGACGTTGAGGCAATCACCGCAATCGAGACGTTTGGTGTTTTCTATGGGGCGAGCACGACATCTGCGCTAAATGACTCGCGCGTGGCGGCCTGCGCTCCAAGCGTCCACGGGTCGGACCCTTTGGGTTATGACTTCACTCGAGTTTTCCAGTGGCTTGCCAAGTATGGTGCGGTTTCCGTCGGTTTGATGGACATCTTCCGCGAAGGGTTGCATTGGATGCGCTATTTCGACATGAGATGCGGAAAGCACGTTATGTTAGGGTTGCCTAAAGACGGCAGGGGATTTGACACCCGCGGACGGCGAACAAGGACCACGACGACTTGTCGGGCACCTTGCCTTCTAAAGTCTACATATGCCCATCGATTACGCACACCGTTGCTGATACTCAATTCTCTCCAGCCCTTACATTCCGAGCCTCTCTTCACCGCTCTATCACTGCTCCACGACGGAGAAAACATGATTCCTTTGCACATAGACCGTCCTTATGTTCCTGGCGACTAGACTACCCTTCCTATTCCACGATGTTGCGTCAATCTTCGCCTTTGCTTTGGCAACATTTGAAAGTATTTCCTATGCACTGAAAAGAGAAGGAAGTCAAGGTCAAGGAACAATCGTGCAAACAGTAACCCAGCGTAAATTTTTAGTAACCATTAAACTAATCGTATATGATCATACTTCCAGCCCCCCTCAACTTCGAACTCAAACGCGTGCGGCGACGAAAGCGGCAGCAGTTGGAGCATCGATCTCGTAGTTCCTGTGCTCAGGGGTGATGATGATGCCGTTGTCGCAGATGTTGTCACCAGCATGGCAGATGATGAGAACCTTGCTAGCAGCAACAGAGCCGAAGGACTCGTCACGGTCAGCATCGCCGAATGTTACAACGGCGGTGACACGCGAGGCGGCGGAGGCTGATAGCCTCTGGGTGGCAGTGTGCACGAGTTGTGCGCCCTGGGAGTATCCGGAGACGACGATCTTGGTTGAGGGGCAACGTGTGATAGCCTAGAGGCACAGTCAGCATGGTACCGAGATGTCAAAAGCGATCATGACACTTACTTGGTTGATCAAGTTGAACATGGTGGTGGCACCCGCGGCGTCGCCTCCAGCCAAGAAGCCAATAACGTTAGCCGGGTAGGTAACGCCTTGGATGGCCAAGTTGCTGGCTCCTCCGACACGCGAAGCCAAAGCATTGAAGAAGGTTGGGCCTTCGGAGTTGGCCTCGCCTACATTACCCGCTAGAAAGGGTATCAGTAAACAACTCGCCTACGATCAGTAGAGAGATCTTACCTTGGGTAGTACCACGAGCGTAGATGACAGTTACGCGACGGCAGGCGGTACCGTCAGTCAGTTGGTTGTAAGTGTCGCCGCTGAACTGGCGCTTGGTAAGGTCACGTGTTTCAACGTCCTGGTTCTCAAGCTGTGCCGCGTACTCCTCGACAGTGAGGTCTTTGTCGAGGAGGTCAGTGATGGGGAAGCTCACTCCGCTCGCAGGCGTTGGCGCAGCGAGGGCAGTGGTGAGAATAGCCGCAAGGGCAAGAAGGGAGCGAGCGCAAGTCTTCATGTTGAGCGATTGTCGAAAGTGGCCGATTTGTAACGAAGGAAGTCTGAAGAGGCTGGTAGCGATGACCCACTAAGAGTAGGTGGACGGTTTGACCTTTTGTATTCTGAGCCATCGTCCTACTAAAGCACAGCGAGTGTGGCCATAACCACTTCAGTACTATCTCCTGCGCTACTGCATCGTCTCTTGCAAGCACATTGGCAAGCCATGTCATCAGACCTTACCTACATGCCTATTTCTACCAGTTCAATTTCCTCCTCCGCTTCGTTAAGCTGGACTGTTCTTGTTTACCGCCGTCGACGCCCAATGATTACACCTGATCCGTTCACGTTGACCAGTGATTGCCTAGTTCCTGTCCGACGCTTTAAATGACATGCATTGTGATGCATCGGGCCTTTATTGTGTACTCCTAGTTTGGCTTTTCACTCCGTGTTTGGTGTTGCTGCCAGTCTTGTTACCTTCTTCTTTGGAGTTAGCACGTTCATGAACCCCAGGTACCACCGGATATCTCGAAACACGTGGGGAAGACATGGGGTTCCAGGACGAATAGAGAACATTTCCACAGCCGATGCTGCGCAACGTGAGAACCATCGACGATACGATTCGTGCAGCCGAGGCATGTCAAGCATGTTGCGGCGCTACGAGGCGTCGATCAGTGAGAAATCTTCTATGCAGCGCCGGGAAGCAGCCGCTGCTGCAGATTTTGGGTGTATAATCATAAATTTTGCTGACAGAAACTTGTGCTTGAGGAATGTCACTGTTGACGAGTCGCATTGTCGCAATTTGGTGGCTTCTCCAGTCAATGCGATGATGTATGATGTCACGCCAAGCTCTAGCGCCATCTTTGCTATCGTGTCGAGATGTTGTCCCTTCGATTTCGACTGACCTAGCGGATGCGCTCTCCAAACGCCCATTACGAAATTTGTACCAAGCTCTACAAAGGTAGCGCACTCGATGAACATGCGCTGTTCGCGAAGTAGGACTCGAATTGCATGACCAAGGCCCCTGGCTCCCAGCCACCTTGGAAGGTGACTGACACCAGCACTACCAGCGCGACTAGACAGCCAGCCAGCCAGCGAACAAAGAATGGAAAGAGTCGCGAGGCCGCAGTCGCTTTACTAATGGTCTTTCTTTCGGAAGACGACCGATGTTATCGCATATCGTCGCAAATGGTCGGAAGCTCAATGGAGAACCCCGCACACGGTACCCGTTGCCAAGCAGAGCATGCAGCAAAGCTGTTGAAGTCTTCCCTAATTCTCCTTCTGGCGTCTTGGTAGCATTACGAGCTTCCACTTACGATACAGATCGGCGCTCGCGAAAGCCATGATAGCAAGAGTTGCATTTCTCCGATGACGGCAGTCACTGCGGTATCGCGAGATGTTGGAGATACCGGCAGTCGACAGCCTGTCGCGAAGAGTGGGATGGCGAAAATGGTGGAGTATATAAATTATAGGAATAGAAGGTTTGGGTAAGATGTCTTGTATCGTCCAAGCTAATTGTCTAGATTGATCAAGATGCGGTCCACATCCATCCTCGCAGTCTGCGCGGCAACACTGCTGCAGACGGCTTTCTCGTCACCTATCCACGCACATCATCCTCACCAATCATTTCCGAGTGCGCAACAATGGCCATTGCCCGTCGTTGGAAAGGCGTTAGAGCAACAGATGCCGGATGAAGACCTTCAGGACATCATTTCGCAAATATCGCGCGACAACATCGAGGCTACGATCCGGAAGCTGGCATCATTCGGCACGCGTCACACCCTTTCAAGTCAAACTGACCCCAACCGAGGCATCGGCGCTGCGAGAACATGGCTCACGGCTAAATTCCAAGAAGCGGCAGATGAGAGCGAGGGAAGGATGACTGTAAACTGGAACAGCTTCATCAAATACCCCGGAGACAACGAGCGCATCATCTTTCCAGTAAACATCACAACCGTCGTCGCGACACTCAAAGGCAGCGAGGACCCCGATCGCGTCTACGTAACAGGCGGGCACTATGACTCGCGCAACAGCGACCCCATCGACTACCAAGGCGACGCACCCGGCGCCGTAGACGATGCCTCAGGCGTTGCAGTCTCTCTCGAACTCGCCCGTATCTTCGCACACTACAAGCCCAAAACAACCATCGTCTTTACAGCCTTCGCCGGCGAAGAACAAGGTCTCCTCGGCGCCGAGAACCTCGCCCAAACATACAAGAATGCGTCCGTAAATGTAGCAGGCATGATAAACCTCGATATGGTCGGCAACTCCAAAGCCTCCGACGGCACCATCGATCCCTACAATATCCGTCTCTTCTGCCAGGGCACGCCTCTGACTGAGAATTCCACGAAGATGACATCGCGTTTGAGCATCGGCGGCGACAACGATAGCCCCGCTCGCAACCTCGGTCGCTTCATCTACGAAGTCGCATCGAATGCCTTCACGGAAATGACAGTGCGCCTCATCTACCGTCTCGACAGATACAGCAGAGGAGGCGACCACCGCCCCTTTCTCGAAGCAGGCTACACAGGTGTTCGCTTCGTCCAGCCCAACGAGGACTACACGCAACAGCACCAAAACGTCACCGTACGAAACGGAAAGCAATACGGCGATCTAGTCGAATGGCTAGACTTTGAGTACAATACGCGCGCCGCCAAGGTCGTTGCATCCACTATGTGGAGTCTCGCCAACGCACCGGGTGAGCCAACGAATGTTGGTATCAACACCACGACGTCCGACAACTTCAGCCAGTTCAAGTGGGACGCGCCGAAGGGGCTGCCCGTTGAGGGGTATGAGATTGTGTATCGTGATACGATTGAGCCGCATTGGACGAATGTAATTGAGGTGGGGAATGTGAATTGGTTTAATCTTACTTCTGCGACGATTCATAAGGATAATGTTATCTTTGGGGTGAGGAGTGTGGGGAAGGGCGGGTATAAGAGTCCCGCTGTTCTTCCGTTTCCGTTTGGATGCTCAAGGAACTGTTAGATGAAGTGCAGAATTTCTATAGTTGATTGGAATGAAGATCAATATTTACTTCTTAAGAGAGCCGTTGCTCTAATCTCAGTTCAGCCATGTGCGACTCCTCATCACTTCATGCACGAACGATATGTTTTGCCGGTGATCCGAAAAGCCTCCCATTCCTTGCAGATCCCATTTCGGAGACGTCAATCCCACATATTGGTCGTGAGCTTCAGCTAGAGCACCGCGGCACATCACCTTTATCAGGTGCCTCCAAGCGCTAGCACGCATATGCGTATGCTCCTGCTACTTGCGCCGACTGTCTTCAGGTACTTCCCAGGTCTGAGCACCTGCTTCTCTTCACGCGACACTCTCGGCCGCCTTAATCACTTCTAGATATCACATGATCACACGTCGTCGCACATCCCAAGAGAGTACCGTAAGTTAAACCACATACCGAACAGGCTACCGGAACTCGGTCCAGATTGTTGGCTAGCAACCCTAAGATGCTTCAATATACCACCTTGATCAAGACATTTGATCCTGCGGTGGCCTTGGGTGAGGAGGTCGATCGGATCGTCGATGGCATACGAACAAGGAATGATGGTCTCTTCGGAGGTGGTCTTGGCGCGGTATGTGGCGCGTAGGACAGTACCGTGGCCATCCATCCATATATTTGGAAGAGGTCGGTTGGCTTCCGAAGGATACTGCTCCAATACATCTGACAGCAAGAGCAATACTGCACTCTGAATGTGATGCCACATGATCGACCGTGTGCCGCTCATCCCGCTATCGGATCCTTGAATAGTGATGCTAAGGTCCCCATAGGCGCGTGTGAATGTATGTAAAAGTTTAGTGATGTTGATACGAAGATCCGCGACAGGCTTTGGTGTAGAGAGCTTGAACATCAAAACCATGTTGATAGGACACTGCCCCTCTCTGCGGAGGTACGGAACGACCAGATTCGAAAAGTTGTCAATGTTCAACATCTCTTGTAAGGCCTTAAAGCCGTTGAAGTCGGTCGTGTCTTTCTGGGTAGACATACGAATCATGATCTCGTCGTATACTCGCGCTTTCATGAGGTCGATGTCGTTCCGTAGCGAGGTATTGACTCCGCTGAGGCCGACGTGGTAACCCCGGGCTTTGTTGATATCCAGGTCGAATGTGACGTTTGTGTCGGATGCGCGTGCGTACGCGTTGATGGCCGACAGGAACTCTTCAGGCAAGGACAGAAGGTTTAACTGTTCAGATTCTTTCCACTGAACCTTGGAACCATGGTCTGAGATGTCGAACCATCTCTCCGGATCCGGGAAGGAACGTGATATATCAGAAGCATCGTATTGGACGAATCCATGATGGTCAAACTCACTGTACCAGACGATTATTGATGAGACCAGGCCCGAGTATCTGGCATATTGCCTGAGGTTGAGAACGTCTGCGGTGCCTAACTGAAAGAGGATATTGTTCATGGGATCCGCTGCAGTGACTGGATCGTAGAGTTCAGCGCTCTTGTTCCGTCCTATGTACTCCGAAGATCCGGAACGAACGAAGGCAAATTCACATTTGGCCTGAGGGTTGTTCCAGATGAACTTCAACAGCGGTAACAGATTGTATCGTCGATATGGTGCATCTGCGTCCATGCTTACGCGAGATAGGAGCTGATAGTGTGATCCAATTCCCGACAGCCATGTGCAGGTAAAGTGCATCTGACGTTCGAGGAACCGAGAGAAGAAGAAAGTGTTCTGGCCGTAGAGGACACCGACGGCTTCATGGTAGACTTGCCGGCATGATAGTAGAAGGTCGGTGCAACCTGCGAAGACATCACACAAATCTTCATCCCTTACTTGCTGCTCGACGCTACCGTGCGTATAGTGAATGCCATGACTCCTTTCCCAAAGTTCCACATGCGCCTGGCCGTCGTCTACGATAACAGGCCGGTCTCTCTTGAACAGGTACTCGTAGATGCGGTTGCGGATCTCAGGCGGTAGAGTGGTGAGGATGCTGGACGCGTGGGGATCGGCAGGGCCGGATGTTGTTTTCGGAATCTCGATGACGGTGCGAGTCGCCATCGTGTGCTGCCTGTCGAGTGGCCGCAGCAAGTCGAGATGCTGCTGCAGGTTAATTGACGCTGGAGAAAGATTGCAGAAGGAAGTTGACGCTGGGTGGTACTGCAGTTTTAGGCAAACAGCGGTCCAAGCGCGGAGCTAGCGCGAGGTGGGAGTCAACCTTGGAAAGTGAAGGTGAGAGAGACCTCAAGACGCGCCTGCCACATTAGTCTCTCTTGACGAGAGAATCAGTCACGCTTGAGCTTTAGTAAACCGTAGTCATTCTCAGCGAGAGACACTTTCGCCGGTCCCAGAGCTCGCTTCAGGTCACTATTCCTCTCCTTCGCCACCGTGAGCAGGTCAGGACCATCCGCCGCGTCCCAACCTTCCAGTCCATGGACCAACACAGCTAATATCGAGTTCTTAAAGAGGTAAGAGCGCCTTCTGCTACCCAGCGCCGTCAGCAGCAAGAATAACGTTGAGTAAACAAGAAGCGCCAGTGGATACGCAAGCCAGGCCCATCTCACATCGACGAAGATCTCCGGCCCGTAAGCTTCACTGGTGTTGTTGATAGCTGCGAAGTTGCCAGGACCTTGTATGACTTTGCTTCCTACTTGCGCAAGGCCTTGGAAGAAGTCAGGCCATGTGTGGTGCATAAAGTATGTCAAGAGGTATGTGCTCAGTGTGGTAGATTTGAAGAACCTTGACATGGAAGAGCCGAGCCAGAGGGTCGAATGATTGCCGATGTAGAATGTCTCGTTCAGGCCTTCTGCGCGAAATGCTTGATCATATCCGGATCCTGCTTTGTACGGGTCGTCGCCAGTCGGGTGCAGTGGCCATTCCTCCAATGAGTCGTAACTTACGACCGTATTTCGTATCGTGGTACCGGAGTATCGCTTCGCACAATAGCTCAGTTTGCAGTGAGATATTGTTCCGTTTACCAATCCGAGTCGATCAATTTCGGCGACACGCGTGATATCAGATGTCGACTTGAAGCAAGTGAATGCAGAAACAGCTGGAAGTGGTAGCTTGTAAGGGTCGAGTATTTTACCATCCTGGAAGCGTTCATAGTCTCCGATGCAGAACTCTATTTGCGGAGTAGAGTTCGATGGGTTCCATACTGGATCGCTATTCAACGCAGTGTAGAGGCGGAGCGACCTGTCCAGAAGATCCTGTTCCAAACGAATGATACCCAGTCGATATCCATTGGAAAACCGTAGATCTGAGTTGGTTACACCCACTTTGGGCCATGCCTCGCCACCTATGTAATCCGTGATAATCCGCATATCCAATTCCGGGTACCCCGGCTTCCTGATTATGCATTTCCTCTCCCACCGAACTGGCTCCCCGGCTGCAACGTGATATTTCATCCCAGTATAATTCCAGCGGAATTCTGTTTCATTGTTGCCGAATTGTGCGGTATTGATACATCCTTGGTACTCATCCTCATGTTGAGCAGCGCCGTTCCAGAAGTTGCCATCGAGAGACGCGTCTTGGGAGGTGCATGAATCGCAAAGACCCAGAGAGAGAAATTGATCGAGTTGGCATTCTGCTGTCGGGCAGTATACATTGCTTAGTAAGTTGATATCCTGCAAAGAGACATGCTCTATGGATCCAAGAGTCAGAGGATACTCCATGCCTATGATGTAATTAGTGAAACACAACTTGTCGTCTGTACAACTGACATACCAGCCAGATCAGCATTCTCTGTACTCCACACATCTGAGAATGCTTTGCTCGAGCTTACAGTCCCAGTAGTATTGGCTAGCAGAGCGGGTTTGGAGTAGATTCTGAGGACCTGCTGTGTGAATGGCTCAAAACCAAGCGAAAAGATTGTCAATGCTGCCCCAAAGGATGCCAAAGCGGCGGACTTTCTCAAGCGCAGCTGGAAAATAAAGGTCAAGGCCCCCCATGGCCCTCGAGTGGCCACGTCAAAATCATCGAGACGATTGACAGGCTTTGGCTGGGGGGTTTGGAAGTATATCCATTTTAGTTGTCCAATGCATTCGGATAGTGGGACCAGAAGCGCCGACTTAGCAATAGTAGAAAACACGGCTATCAAAGAATTTGGTTGCATAGGAAGTCTCCAGTCTCTCATGGGCCTGCCGTCCATGGTAAAGAGGATAGCCAGGATAAGTGCCATGCAAACGGTGCTCAGTAACAAGGCCGCCACTTCCCACCACCAGCCCATGGAACGCGAACGTTGTGCTGACAACGGCTTGATTGGAGGCGACGTAGAGCCCTGTTGAGATTGAAACGTTGACATGGGATTTGGGCTGTTGACTGTGGAAGGCGACCCTGTTCTTGATGAAATTGGGGAGATAGATGGGCGTGAGGGAGGCTGGCTTGAAAGAGACACCAACTCAGTCATCGCGAAGCTATCAAAGGACAGTCGGCCATCCGATACCAACGGGTCGGATGATGTAGGCCCTTGGGTGCCCGACATGTCTGTTGCGTAGATTGGAGAGAGAAAGGCAGGAAAGCCGACAGAGGCTGATACATCGAGGCTCTGAATGCTGAGTTGCAAGGCGGGTCGCGCCTTATAACCATCTACCACAGTATCGCCGTCTGTTTTCAGCCCCCAAAATATGGTGTGGAGGCCAAAAACCACTCTCATGGTGTCGCACTCGCATACTCCGCCCCAATCTCTTGCAAAACCCCCGATGCAGTACGAGTACCTTCGGGTTGTACAAGAATGCGTTGAGATAAGCCGAGCAGGATGCACAACACTGGCCCCTTCTTCAATCCAGCAGCGACTAGCTTACCGAGACCAACGAAGAGGGTTCCAAAAATTCCTGGAAGGCCCAGAAGGCCTACCAGAGCAGTCAATATATGTAGTTTTAAACCAGCAAAATTGCTACCTCAGACGAATCTTCACTGGTAAGCAAATCACCCCTGCACTAGGATGAGGAAGGAAAGAAGAGGCTGAGAGTTTGGCGGATTATATAGGCGGAGGGATCGCAGGCAGCAGTCTGTCACGGGTGCGGATGAGGCGTGGTTGGGACCCGTAGGGCTGCAGGCAGCTGTTCGTCACGGGTTCAGATGAAAACTTAGAAACGATGGGTGTGGTGGATCGAAGGATAGATGGAATGAGGCAGCCATGGCGTACGCGGACTCGATGTGTCAGCAGCAACCACGTGATCCTAGTGACTGGCCAATCGGCTCCAGACACAATCGAGGCGGCACAGCAGGGGTCCGATTCTCGGCATATCACCTCGCCCACAATCCCTCCATGGTACACCTTCAAACAACAAAAAGTAAACACCACATCTTCACCACCCCTGCATAGCAAATGCGCTTCCGTGGCGCACTGGAAGAAAGTCGTCGCCGGCAAGAGCGCGACGACGAAAATGCTAGCAAGTCGCACAGGCTTGGCCTGCATAGCAAGGGCCAAGTTGGAGTAACCCTGCAGTAGGCATGGCAGTGGAACAGAGAGCTGGACCAGTCGTTCCTCGTGCATGCTTCGTCCCGCGGCATCCATGTCGAATACTCGGGCCCGGATAATCGGCGGGCGGGCGGACCTATTGGTCTCTCATGCGCTGGGTTACAACTCACCCGCCGTCGCAGGTGGGATTACACCAGGCATGCTTTGACAGCGAAGAGGCCGGCGATTCTCGTGTGTACCGTCGGCGAGGCTTGACAGGTGCAGCGACGCTTCTGCTTAGCAGGTGTGCTAGGTGGCGAGCAGAATGTTCAATAGGGTGGCCGAGGTCAGTCTGGTGAAAGAGCAAAAACTGGGGATCGTCGGTGTGAGCCTTCGCATAGCGGCCTTCAGGGTCTGGTCCCTGTTGCGACATCTGTGGCCAGCTGTGAGGATCCAGAATAATAGCGAGCCATAATCGTGCATGTGCTGGCGGTGAGGGCAGAGAGCCTTGACGCGAGTAGAGTGCATGTCTTATACCCGCCTGGTCCCCTTTGATCCCATCTTGCTCGCTCTTCCCCTGCTCCTCGCCGGCCTCGACTTTCAGACTTCTCTAGCTTGTGTTGTGTGGTGACGGCTAGCTGCACCGTTTTCTCACGTCGTCGCCGTGCCGCATTCTCGTCGCAAAACGCCGTCGACCCTTCCCGACCAATCTCGCAGCCAAAGCCGGGGTCTCCCCTCTGGCCCGCAAGATCTGCAGGATAGCGCAGTCGACATAGGATTCGAGCGATTCCCTCTGTGCATTCAGGGATTTTGCGAATTACCATCCACGGGACTTTCGGAACCTCCACGCGCAAGACAGCAGAGTCAGCTGTCAGGTACCCGGTGTGCACCATTCCGACGAGCGTCTGATAGCTAGTGGGAGAGCTAGGCGGCGTCAGAACGTGGGAACCTTGGAAACAGCGGTCACGCCCGAGGTCAGCACACACACCTGGCCGGCCCCTTAGTAAGGAGGAAGTTAGAGAAGGTGCGGGTGAGGCGGTCACATTCTGCGACAACCCACTTTCCGCCTTGTCCTTTCACACTCGAGCACCCAAACGCGCAATCTGCGAGCGACGGCGATACCTCATCTATCCACGCTTCCCTCTCGCACGGCGGCACACTTCCTACCCACAAACTTCGCCTTGACAGAACCTTGAAAGAGCGCCACATTACACACCCGCAGCCATGCACCGCAAAAACCCCATCAGCGTGCTCGTCTACAACACGCTCTTCCCCACGCCCTCGCCCACAGACCCGCCCTCCTTCAGCGCGCACCTCTCCAAAAACCTCGTCGGCGAAGTGCGCATCGAAACAGCAAACTTCTACGGCTCGCTCGACACAATCGAAGCGCGGTACCCAGGCCTAAACTACGCCTTCCAACCACACCGAAAACGCCTCGGCCGCTTCCCACACCACAAGCGACTCTTCGACGCATTCGACCGGCTCGGGCTAACCGAAGCCGAAATCCAAGGCTTCTGCAGATGGGAAGGCACACTCTGGGCACGAGAGCGCTATGAGCGAGACGAAGGCGTACGCGTAGTCGACACGACCGGCGTAGACATAGGGGAATGGGTCGACACACGCCGGGCCTACTCATCACGCCACAACAACGGCGCAGGCATCAACGTCAAGACGGACATTGAAGTCGAAATCGAAGAACTAGAACACCACAATCACCTCCTGCACAACCCGCTCACCCGGCAAAACATGCAACCGCCCAACCACCACCACAACGGCGGCGACACAGAAATGCCCGACTCCTCCTCCTCAGCCGAAGACGACGACGACGACGAAGACGGCGCAGCAGAAGCGTCAGACTCGGAATCAGACTCGGACTCCACATCCAACGAACTCTCCTCCTCCGTCGGCTTCTCCCTAAACGCACGCCTCCTCCACGCCGCCGCCCTGCGCGAGTCCTCGGGCGCCCTCAACATACCCATGGACCCAGAATGGGAACAATACCTCAAAGAAGCGTCTGAGCGCGGCGAACTCAACATCGACGCGACGAGAGAGGCGCTGCGGACGATGGCAGGCCAGATCGCGCAGTTGCACCAGAGCACCGTTGAGGCCGAGGGCAGCGAGGCGGTGCCGCAGACGTTCCAGCCAAATGCGGCTCCGGCTTAGGAGTCCGTAGACGCACGGATGCAGATGGAGATGGAAATGGATGCGCAGGCCGAGGCCGAGGCGGAAATACAATGGATGATCGACGAGGGCGTCGAAGCAGCGGTTATTGTTATGTTTCCCGATGTGTTTCTCACACCACCCCGGAGGGCATGATTACGAAGGACACGACGACGGGAACGATCAGGACGAAGACGCAGTCAGTGGTGATAGGATACCCATCTTTAAGGATGGTACTTGTTGTTGGCTTTGGCCTTTTGCCTCTCCTGCACTGCATGGCGTTTTCTGCTTCTTCACTACAAGGCAGGCGTTTGATGGGCATTTCGCGAGATACCCCAGATTTCCTGCTGGGCTTTTCTTGTTTTGTTGGGATAATGGATGGTTCTTGTTATCATTTTATAGATTGGTGAGGAGGCTTTGGATGGGGAATGAGGCATGGAGTGAGGCATGCACGGCATATAGTCATAATCCATCATGTTCAGATTCTCAAGATGGGTGTTTGTGGTGTTCTTGTTTTCATTACGTGTTCTCCTTATGAGGAGTGATGATTGCTCCGATCGCTATATGGAGCTACGGAGTGGTTGCTTGTACTCCTGGCCTTCTCATCAAGTCTCCTCTCTTGGAGTCTCGAATGTAGCTAGACATGACCCAAGGCTGCATCCTGCTTGAAAGCCTGCAACCCTCCGCGGGTATCACTGGCTATGACCACATTGCTTTCCATGCCAGACGGCCTTGAGGAGTGTGGACCACGGTCATGAAGACGTGACGTGTTGCAGTGTTATGAGATACTACACACACCGTCGCCTTAACGCCTTCCAGAGCTCCCGAAGCCGAATCCGCCAGGGCCCCTCTTAGTACCCCTTGTGATTCTGCCGCTACTATCCTCATCAATCTCCATAGCGTCGTCACCACCCATGCCCATCAGATTCCGCTTGCCAGTGTTCTTCTCATCACCAACCGTCATGACTGCCTCAAAAGCCCTTTCCTTCTTCCGACGCATCTTCTCTCGATCCAAAGCCTCTTTCTTGACCTTTGCGACTTGCGCCTCCAGATCTGCTAGAGCAGAGTCGCACCGTTGTGACCATGACTGTAGGGTGTTTTGGAGGGCGGGGAGGGATCCTGGTGCGAGGTCGCGGAGCGGTGAGATGGAGGTTACAGAGACGAGAGAATGCGCGGGGTCGAGCGTCGCGGTGATGAGGCCGGAGTAGATGGCGGTGGTGATGAGCTCCTCGAGAGCGCGGGTGGTGGGTAGCTCGAGCGCTGTCATGAGATGTTTGTAGGTGAGGGTGGCGTGGGAGTGGGAGAGCGGCAGTAGCGAGAGCAGTAAGAGCTTTTGATGTTGCTGTGCTGAGAGTTTGGGGAGGTTTGCTTGAGCTTTGCGCTGTCAGTATACAACTTGATGGCTATGGTATGATCAACGCACCCTTGTAGTCTTCCCAGGTTCCCCAGGCGAAGATCTCGAGTAGGGTAAGATACGACGCATGCTCCTCTGAATTCCGTAGGTTCTGGATGTTTGGTGTCTGTAGGAGTTCGGCGAATACGTAGGTGTTGGGCGCACTGGTGGCTTGTACGATCAAGTCCGATGCTGC